CCGTTGGCCGTGAGGACGGTGTACTCCACGGCGAGGGCGACTTGACCACCTTGGTGGCAGCGCCTCTGGTGGCGCACGATCTAGAGCGAAGGCGGTTGATATAGATCGAATTGTGGATCTTTCGGTGCTACGGCTGCCGGTCGACGGCGGCGTCTAGGACCCCCGACGTCGTGCGCTGATCTTGGAACTTCGTGCGTGAAGCGGGTGTGGAAAACGATCGATCGCAACGCGTCCATCGCTTGGGGTTCAGGTGGCATTGCGTGTTGAAACGAGACTTTGGTTGAACATGCGGGGTGTGCCGAGTGAAGATCCAAGCGTTCTCGGCCATCCATCCGCACATGCGTTGAAGCAGAGAGAGGTGTGTCCAGCATGCCGATCACCCTCGAACAACTCGTTCCGACGTCATGGGCTCGTCGACGGCACCGTGCGCCGTCAGAGGTGTCGGCCACAACAAAACGGCAGGTTCGGACAGTCGCCGTGGAGAGCATGTTGGAGACGCGGCACGAGCCTTGCAGTCGGCGGGCGGCACGTGCCTCACCGAAGGGGCGACGTAGATGCGCCATCCTGTCCATCTCTCTCTTGATCGAGTACGGTGTGGATGGGTCCAGAGATACTCGAGGGCATCGGGTCGTGTGGGTCACTTTCAAATTCGACGTCCCAAGCGCATCGCCATTCGATGCTGGTGCTGACACTCTTGACCGTGCTCGTGGGGACGGCCCTCACCGCCGAGTACAACGCCGATCGATGCACAGTTCTCCTGGTCGGGGCCAAGGTTTGTACATGTATGCCATGGAGATGTGGCCAACCCTCACGTTGGACTGCAGGCGTCGGCGACCGGCACCCCCATGACAACGCACACCGCCGACTCGTCCGATTACGACTTTCGCATTGCCAAGGTGCCTCGCCAACAGCATGCGGCGGGTTCCCACCGCAACATTCCGCTTCTGCACCAAGTGTACCCTCGCTTTGGTATGGGAGAGATTCGCCCGTCGTCGAAAAACAGGCTGACTTGTGGTGTAGTTGGCCGCGACCGCGGAGCCCCCGAGTACTACCGCGAGAACGTCGAGGCGGGTTTTTTCAACTGGACAGACACCCCCGTCATTGGCACGATTCCCCAAGTCGACATCACGTTTGGCTACATCGACGGCATGTACCCGATCATGAATGAGCATCAACTCGCGTTCGGCGAAAGCACTTGTGGGGCGAAACTCTGGGCAAAGCCAGCCACCCAGGGTGGATCGGCTCTGTTTGACATCACGGAGCTCGCTCGGGTGGCCCTCGAGCGCACCAAGACAGCGCGAGCAGCGATTCAACTCATGGGCGACTTGGCCGTGCAATACGGCTACTACGGCGCCGAGTGGGAAGGCGACGGCGTGTACAGCGAAGCGGGCGAGACACTGACTGTCACGGATACGAAGGAAGGGTGGGTGTTTCACATCTTGCCGGACGACACGGGGGCGTCCGCGGTGTGGGTCGCGCAGCGTGTGCCCGATACGCACATCGTCGCGATCGGCAACCAATTCATCATCCATCAAGTCAACCTGACCGACACGGCCAACTTTCTTGGCTCGACAAACTTGTACGACGTGGCCAAGCGCAATAACTTTTGGGACGGCAAAACCGACTTCGACTTTACTTTGGCGTACGCGTCGCCGTTGGATGTCTCGAGCAGCAAGATCCTCACTCGGCGCCAATGGCGCGTGCTCACGTTGGCCAACCCGACGTTGGCTTTGAGCCCCGACACGGACGTGTACGGGTCCGACTATCCGTTTTCCGTCGAGGTACGCACCATATCCCGTTCGGTCGCGATGCCACAACGAGTCGTCGGCGCGTAGACGGCGGGAATCCTGACGGTCCAAGACATCATGCGCATGCAACGAGATCATTATGAAAACACGCCGTTCGACTTGACGCAAGGACTGGCTGCCGGACCGTACGGGAACCCCGATCGCTTTGGTACGCGCCGACAGGTCACGACCCATGGACCTGATGGGTTTCACGGTGGTGCTAGCCCTTGGCGACAACGTGTCTGCGCCGTCATGGGCGAACGGCCATCGAACGACGTTTGAGCGCCCGATATCATACCACACAACGTCGTACTCGTACGTGACGAGCTTGCACCCGACCGACGAAAACCACGCGCTCATTTGGTACGGCGGACGGCGGCACCACCACGAGGCTCACTCGGTGCATGCAGGTTTGGAGCGTACGTCCCCCATGCCACTGCATACGTGCCGATCTACGCCAAAGTGAGCGCCGTCCCCGCGCTGACCAACCACGGTTCTCTCCTCCGCTTTGATTTCAACGTGTCGTACTGGCTCCACGCCGTCATCGGCAACTACGCCGGACGCTTCTACAAACACGCGATGCCGGCGGTCGCCGCGGTCCAAAAGGTCGTTGAGGACAACGCGTTTGCAGGTATGGTTGAGCGTAACGTGGTCCACCGATGGATTCACGAAGCGAATGCATCATGTAGCTCAAGCCGACGTCCAAGCCAAGGCCGTGTCGATCTTGGCGACCGACGGCGAAGCGGCCATGGTCGCCCACCTGACCGCGAGCAGCGACAAGTTTGCCAAAGCGGCTCACGACGCGTTTTACGCGCTGTTCCTGGACATCGTGACGCGGTTCCACGATGGGTGGATTTTTTCCGACTTTGCGACTGAAACAATGCGCATGACAGCGATGGGGTATCCGAGTTGGTGGCTGGAAGAGGTGGGGTACTATGGCCCCCGGCCGGAGAAATCAGCAGGGACGGGAACGTTGGTGTTGGGTGTGGTTACGGCGGTGGCGTTGATGGGTCTGTGCTTTTGGTTGGGCCGCCGCTCCGCCAATTCCAAGGGCTATGCCTCCATCATATAGTTAGCAGTAGGCATCATATTTTCCTCGTGAACAGTTGTGCCATGCTTGTGAAAGTCATGTACATACCATGGCATATTCGGTGCAAGGAGCCAATGCCGCGAGCGCCGCAGAGCCCAAAGTCAGGACGCGGAATCGTTCATTTCGCTGGTGGGCGACTGGACCGACGTCGTGGGTGGCATCACCACTTTGATGTTGAGATCTCTGCGGAGGTGAAATACGTTGATCAGCGCGGTTGAATGCATCGACGTCGAGGAATGTGGTTAAGCTGAGCGCACATGCCGATGCTGTAGTTGAGTGACTGACGGAGCTGAGCATACACGTCAAGATGCGTGCGTGGATGCGGCGCTTCGTATTCAAGCGTACACAAGACAAGACAAGTGGGGGGACTCGAGTGGTGCAACACACTCGATGAAGGCATAACGATCGCCTAGTTGGAGCTGGCGCGACGGCTGTATCAAACGTCTGACCCACACTCACTCAGCGCCATCGCCACGTCCGTCATCTGCCCGTCTCGGTGAGATCATGCTGCACAGACGCCGCCGCCAACTCTCCCGAGCATGGACATTTCATCTCTGTGAAGATATGACTCGCACGGCGTTTGATTGGGTGAAAACGAAACGATATAAATGAACTATTAGAGGTTGATAAGTGGCTGCTCACTTGGCACGCGTTCGCGTTACGCGCGGTTCCAGCAAGATCCCACCAAAAGACGCTGCGGACGCTCATGACAAGAGGGAATTGTTTAGATTTCTTTGAAATACCACTACGTTTTACCTCGATGTTTTCCGCAAATTGCGCCTGCAATGGTCAATCAATGGTAATGTGATGTTGTTCCAATGTGATGGAGATAGCAATGAAAGAATACTGAAGGATTATTGATTTTAAAAGGTTATGCATATATGGAATGTCCTTGTTGTGCACCGATATATATATCGCCATGTCCTTGGTCGCCAACTACTCGGACTCGGACCCCAGCAGCGGCGGCACCGACGACGACGTCGAGGTGAAGGCGAAACCATGCGCAAAACATCCGATCGCACTGCCATCGGCAGACGACCTCTTCTCGGACGCGAGCGGTGCAAAAACAACGTCCCTCGCAGCGTTTGCCAGTGCTCGACCGACCACAATGCCCTCACTTGGCTCGAAACGACCTCGGGATGCAGCCACCCCCGCCATGATGGAATCGTCAAAGAATGCTAAAAGGAAGGTCCGTTCTCTCGTGCCTCCTCAGCTGCGACGACCCAATGTGTCTACCGAAGATCGGAGGTGCGTTCGAGTGTACGCGCATGTATCCATCTGCAGTGCTTAAAATGATTCGTCGGCATGTAGCTCGTGGAATACCCAAAAGACAATGAAGCTTCAGCAATACACAGCGGAAACAGCGACGAAATCCATCGCGCGGTCGGCGACTTGACCATCATTATGTTGTCGGCATGCTCAGGCACGCCACCACATTAAATATAGCTGCTTATCGATGCCCACTGTTGAGTTGACTACGACTGTTCGTACCATACAGAAAGTCGGACGGACAGTTCATTGTCTATTCGCCGGTGATGTGGCCCATCGACGGTGCCATGGGCTCTGCCTCGATAGATGTAGAGGGATTCGGTGCACTCCCCTTGACGGGGGTAGTGGGGTTGCTTCCAAGCTGGGATGCCTTGACTGCATTCAAAAGGGATCGAATGCCTTCCAGTTTTTGTTGAAGCACTTGAACACGGTTCGGAAACCCGCGCAGACGCACGGCATAGTCCACCAATGGCGACTGCGACTCGTCCAGATTGGCGCGGCCATCCTTGGCTCCCGTCAGCGTCTCTGTCAACGCCTTGATCTTGTGGTGCAGTTGTTCTTGCGTCTCCAGCAGCATCGACACGTACTGGTCGCACTTTTCGACTTTGGGCCACATAGACATGTACAGCCCGACGGCAAATTCCTGCCCTGCCATTTCAGGCGCAATCTTCTCGACCACCACGGCGTGCTCCCTGCCATCCTCGGACGAAGCGGCCGCGACGTCGCCGACGCGTGTACTGGCGTCCACTCCTTGGACGGTCGACATCGCGTTCGGCCCACTTCCCAAATCTCGAGGTCGAAATCGCACCTGTCGATTTTATTGAATTCACCAGGAAAATTGAAACCTGTCGAGGGGAGAATAGAATGGAGGTTTCGCCACTTCCTAAAATATTGAAGACGGGCGTATTCAAAATTGCAATCATTCATAGAATTTTAAATACCACTTGAAAATGTCTTCCGGGCATCTCCCTCGCTTTACAAACATTTAGTATCGGATTGGTCAAAAATATTTTTCACGTCAGCTAAACTTCATCTGTGGTCTTTCAAACGGCCACTGGGTGAATTGAAAATTGATGCGACTGTTTTTAAAACGTTTTTTCAGCGTTTCATAAAATGGATTTGCGTTTCAAATGCATACCGAATCTGGCCCCATGTAGAGGGGCTGCCCATCGTCCGCCCTAACTTCTTCCGTGCGTAAAGTATATCTACAAGGTCGGCCATGGACCAGGACGGTTTGCTCACCCGCGTACATGTTGCCGGCAGGCGGAGGAACGGTCGAAGTGCCTGGCGACGTCCGTCGGGATCGAGTGCGATTGCTACGTGACGAGCGTGGTACACCGACATTTACCGTAGATGAAACAGCGTGCACGCATTCTACCACCGATCCAAACTTTCACCAAACTTCTTTCATGATCGAATGTCGTGGAGTGTCGGCAGCGCCAGGAGCCACCGTCACGGCGGTTGATGTCAGCCAATTTGGCCGCCATTACAACGACTGACATGCGCGGCCCTGAAACCGACCGGATAGATCGTTCGAAACAAAGACTTCGAAGTTCGCTTCGCCTGAGTGGAGAGTTATGATTGGTGAAAAATCGAAATCCGAAGGCAGTTCGGCACCGCATCCGGATGTGTGGCCAGAGTTCGGATGCCTTGATGGTGGATTTCCTCTGCCTATTCCACACTGCTTGCCGACGCCGCATGACAGGCACCAGCGCTCGGTCATTGCATGGCTATGCATACCGCCCGCAACCGGCGGTCAGTAGCAGCAGCAATCGAAGCAACAGTCTTCGGGGCCAGACGTCCCCGTATACGCACAGCGACAAGGACGAGCAATTGTACAACCTCGTAAGTGATCTCAGCCATGCTTGTCGCAAGGACAGCAACGCAAATGCACTCAAGGATTATAATCTGATCGAGACTTTGGAAAAGAGTGCCAAGGACATCCTAGCCCGTCGCAACAGCAACCAGGACGGGATGAACAACGACGCTGTCGTTGCCGCTTCCCCCGACACGATTCAGAAACGTCGGCGATTGTCGATCGAGGCAAACGACGACCGTGACAGCGACAACACTTGTGACAAGTCGACAAACCCGCGCTTTCAAAAGATCGAACGACCTGCGGACAATGCACCCAAGCGCTACAACATGCCGACGTTCTTTTCGTCGATGCCGCCTCGACAAAGCAGCAGCGGCGCTTTGTCCGCGGCGGTGCCCCCGCCATCCGTTCGACCCATAGCCAAGCCAGGTGGCAAATCGATCAAATCTCCTTCCGCGAAGGTCTCTGCGACAGTCGATTTCCAGGACTTCTCGGACAACGAGGACGAGGAGCCGTCGTTCATGCGCGATACGATTTCGCGTGAGACGTTTTCCCGCGAGACGGCCATGTACACGCGGGAAGCCCTGTGCATGGATGATCTCTCGCCGGATGAGATTAATATGATCGCTCCTGGACAAGAAGAGGTTCACCGGAAGCGCCAGCATGGAACCATGGGCCGCGAAACTCCGGCCGTGTCGACCAACAAGACCGTGCGTCAAGAGGTGAGCTTGGATGCTTCTTGTGGCGCCATCGTGCTTGTCTGTAACCCGCCATTGCGTAGCCGCGAAACGACGACATTCAGGCAATCATGGACAAAGCCAAGGGATCCGTCGACCCCGACTACGTCAATACTCACCACGCAACCGCGGCAAAGATGCCGGAGACCTCGCCGTTCTCGTCATCGTCTCCTTTCTCGACTGTCAATGGCAAGGCAGAGCCAGAGTTTGTCTACACGCACTTGGGGTCAAAGCTCAAGTCCAACCTGCGGTCCCGCAGCGGATCGGGCTCGAAAGAACGGTCACGTCGCGGATCCGTCGACGACAAGCGGCGCCAGCACACCATCACGGAATCGAAACTCATCTCGATCCACAAACCAAAATCCACAACTTCGACATCGTCGGCGAGCGCAAGTTCGACCGCTTCACTGCAAGCATCGCGAGCCCAGCTGCGGTCGCAAACGATGCTTGAATCCAAGACGAGTTGGCCCACAGGCAAGCCTACCACGTCGACACTAGGATCCCAGCCACAGTCGATACCCAAGCCTGCCACAACGTCCTTGACAACCGCTGCGGGAACCACCACCGCCAAATCCAAGGCAGGCCCGACGCGGAACATAGCAGCGGCGGTGACTTCAGCTACCCATGCCGCATCTGTTTCAAAGGAAGTGGCCGTGCGCAGTGAAGGTGGCAAGACCGGCACTACCAAGCCATCGCCCCCTCGACCTCTTCGAAAGGAGTTCTCCCTGGACGATACGATTCAAGATGAGAGTCCGGTGGTGGCCGCGCTACCGGCGGCCCCAGCCGCAGCTGTTCCTGCCACCCCACCCGCTCCTGTCGTCCCTGTAGAGCTGCTGCAAAAGATCGAGTCGTTGGAAAAGCAATTGGCCAGCAAGGACGCCGAGTGCACGCGGCTGTCGACCGAATTGATGGCTCAGGACGCCCAATGGAAAGTCCAGTTTGAAGCCTCCGACACGGCGTACAAGGCCCTGGAGGCGTCCGTGGCCGTGTTAGCCTCGGAGAAACAAGTCCTCGCGACGCAGGTGCATGACCTGGAGCGGAGGATTCCGCTGGGCGACTCGTCCTCGAACCGCATCGTGTGGCATTTGCGCGAGATTTTGCGCGAAGAAGAATCGGACAACAAGATCGAGTCTGCCAAGGCGTCGCGCATCGCCGCGCTCGTGAATCGGTTTGAAAAGTCCAATGCCCAAGTCCAGGCGGATTTTGCACAGCAGCTGCGCCACGAGATCAAGTCCATCGGGCTTACGCGGGTCGCAGCGTCTCTCACCGTCGACTCGTCGACTCGGACGGCCGACTTGGAAGAACGCATTGCCCAACACGAAGCGACCATCCTCAACCTGACGCGGGAAGCTCAGAATTACCAGCGCCAACTCGACTTGGCCCTGCAGACCGCCGTCGACCGAGACCAAGACGTTATGCAGCTCGAATCAAAGTTGACGTCGATGCAGCTCGCTGAGAAGGGTGAGGACGGCGCCGCGTCGGCCTTGTCCGCGACTCTGGCGTCCCAAAAGGCCGCCGTGACCCGTCTCGAAGCCAATGCGGCAGCACTGGAGAAGGTCGTGTCGCAGCGGGACGACGAGAAGGCCGAACTGGAGCGACAGGTGCAGGAGCTCACGCGGGCATTGACAGCACAGACTGAGGCGGCCGCAGCGACCGTCGCGTCCGTGAAGAAAGACTTGGAGCATCAGTGCGCGCAAGTGAAGCGTTTGCAAGACGAAGTTGAAGCCAAGACAAATGAAATCCATGTCCTGAACGCAACGGCGGCGTCGACGATGACGCGGGAGAGCGCGAGTGTTCTCCTCCATGACAGCTTCCTCACGTCGACCGCGCGCAAGTCGGTGCGCTTCGAAGACGACGAAGGTAGTCAGCACTTGCGCAGCCAAGTGCGGTCGCTCGAAGCGGACGTCGCGGAGATGCGCGCCGCCTTGCACGAACGCACGTGCGACGTCAACGCGCTGCGGCAGGAATTGGTCGCCAAAGCGGAAACGATCGAGCATTTGTCCGCGGACTTTGCCAAGCGGTTGGCGCAGCAGTCGGACGTCAGCAACCCTCCCAACGACATGGAAAAGATGGACATGTTTCTGTTCAACCAAGTGTGCGCCAAGCAGCAAGAAGTGGACGATCTCCTTGTCGAACTCGAGCGCAAAGACGATGAAATCAAAGAACTTCTGGCGCGGCAACCAGCCGACAACAATGACGGCGGCGGCCACGACGAAGAGATTGAGCTGCTACAGACCAAGGTCGTCGAGCTCACGGCGCAGCTCAAAGTTGCCATGGAGCAGAACGCATTGTTGACGCAAGAAACGCAGCTGCAAACGCGCAGCATCGAAAGCAAGCAAAACCAGATCAAGTCGCTCCTCGAACTCATGAAGAGCAAGGAGGATGAACTGGCCGAGCTCGATGAAGCACTCGCGACCGCCGAGATCCAAGTCGAGTATTTGAAACAGCAATACAATGTGACGTTTACGCGCGAAGAAGAGGACGGGTTTGCCGCGGCGTATCGAGAGAGCGGCCGCCGCAGCTCGCTGTCCCTCCGGCGCGAGTCCGTGAGCTACCCGCCAAACATTGCTCCGTACTTCACGCCGTCTGCCATGATGGATGACGAAGGGTACGACGAGTACGACCGCCCGCCAACCTCCGAAGGCATGTCCGTGCGTTCGGACTCGACCTACCTGTCGACGGCAGGCATCTCGCCCCCTCCTTCAGCTGCACAGTCCCTGGACGACAACGAGTTCGGCGGGTCCCCTCGATTTAGTTGTTTGAGCATCGGGTCCCGCGACAGCATCGCGTCGTCCCGCACGAGCGAGTGGGGGCTCGAGTTTTAGTAGAGAATTGTTTTTTAATATAAAGTGTGACTGGACTCAGCATCGTAAGATGTTGGACCAGGCGGACAGGGGACTCAGCCCCCGAACGGACAGTCGTGGCGACTTATCCATGTCGGGCATGGCCGACTTGGACGTTTTCGCCGCCCACCGCGGCGGACCCTCTGGCTGTACGCCCAGTGGGGGAAAGCCCCGCCGGAGCCAACCCCTCGGCACCATCCCCTTCCTTCTTGTGTAGCAACGACATGCCCCGGATTGCCTTGGCCGCCATAATTCCCGCACGGAAGCGTCGGCGCGCATTGTAGCGGCGCATTTCTGTCGTGAAACTCGGCAACGCCCTGTCGCTCGCTCCATCCGGGTCCTATATCGCGCACGGCATCAACACATGAGCATCAGAATCAAATACGATGATTGGAGACGCAAGTACGCACTTTGACCCAAGGGTGGTTGAGCACATCTTCCGCCGTGTACCGCTTCTTTGCGTCCACGACAAGCATGTGATTGATCAGGTCCTTGGCTACGACAAGGGGTTGGTGCAGGTGCTTTGAGGAAGCAGCGTGAGCTTACCACTGTCGGACACGTGGTCCCAGTACGGTGACGGAAAGTCGTACGCCCCGGCCTTGATCGTGGCAAACAGCGCCGCGTTGTTCTCGTCGTAGAAAGGTGGGAAGCCGCAGAGGAGGATGTATGTGATGACCCCCAAACTCCACATGTCGACTTCGCCCCCGTACGGCTTGCCTTCGAGGATCTCGGGAGCAACGTAGCCGGGGGTCCCGCACGCCGTTTGCATCATGGAGTTGCCTTGAATGAGTTTGGCCAAGCCAAAGTCGGCAATTTTGATTTCAGCGTTGTCTTCTGTCGACTCGTACAACAGGTTTTCCGGCTACGACGGCGCGACCAACGTGGTCAACAACGCGAGGCACACACGAAAGAATGTGTCCGACGATACCTTGAGGTCGCGATGGACAATGCCGAGCGTGTGGCAGTACGCAAGTGCGGTGGCGAGCTTTTGCACGACGGACCGCGCTTCTCGCTCCGAGTACTTTTCCTTTTCCACGATGCGGTCAAACAGCTCGCCGCCGCTCATTTCCTCCATGACCATGTAGAACGTCTTGGGGCAATCGAATACTTCCTTGAGCTTGACAATGTTCCGGTGTTCGACCATTTGCAGCACCTCGACTTCAACACGCAGAGCTTCTTCGTCGTCTGGTGCCAGGCTCGCCTTCTCTATGCACTTGACGGCCCACTTGGTGTTGTCCGCTTTGTTGACGGCGCTCTTCACCGTGGCAAAGCTCCCCCTACACACGTTCACGCTTCAGAACGGTCCACCCCGTCGACAGCCCCATGCTACGTACGTGCCGAGCGTCTTGCCAAACTTGTAGTACTTGACGCACTCGTCCTTCTTGTAAAAGTCCGTGACCTTCTTAATGATGTTCGACATGGCTTCGAGCGGCAGCAGCCGAGACTTTCGGCAAATGCTCGATCGGTTTCCACCCCTTCGTCGTTGTGAGATGGCAAAAATATCGGCGAAACAGTCCATCGGTATCTTTGTGCGACGTTTCGGCCAAAAATACGGGCGGGCAATTCCCTTGGATATCACTATATTCTCGGCAGGGACGGACCAGTGGGCCTAAAACATAGTAGATTCGCCCTAAATTGGCCTTCAATGACCTCGCTCGAAGGACTCCGTTTGTTGTGAGTACTGATGTAAGGTTATTTCAATGGCGCTGCTGAGGCGCGTACGGTTGGTAATATCCGGCTACCGTCCCAATCAAGTGTTGGAGCGGCAGAAGACCTGCAAAGTTGTTTTCAAGCTCGTGCCGGACCGATTGGAGGAACCAGAGCTAGCTGTAGGCAAGTGAAGCGTCCTGTTGTGTCTCAGTCGCGCGTGAAGCTTGGCTGAAGCAAGGCACGTTCGGTGTAGTTTGGAGAGGCTGCGCTCCCGTGGCTGAGAGCAATACTTCGACTTGATGCAACGAGACTAAATATTTGTCATTTGATTCGAGCGACGTGGTGTGTTAGAATTCAGCCGTGCCGTTGTCGGTGGCTTCTACATTTCATCTTCCTCCAACAGCATGTTCGGAACGCCGTTGGTGATGGGGTAGCTGCGGCCGCAGTTGTTGCACAAGAGCTCGCCTTCGATGATGGTAGTCTGACCGTCACCGCAGAAAGCGTGAGGTTGAGATGTCGCGTACGATTCAGCAACGTTGGGACGTACGTCAAAGATAATGCGATGCACTGCACGAAGGATGTCGTCGCGTGTCTCAATGTCTGCTGGGACTTCTTGGGGGAGTTGTGGCAATTCAGGATGGTTGAGCTACAAGAACCTGCACCTTGAGATGATCGTGGCAAGCTGACGAGTGAGTCATCTCACCGACCTGTGAAACGGTTTGCGCCAAGCCCGTCCAGTCGATGGACTTGAGGATGTGCAGGACAAAGTCTTTACTGTAGTTGGTATCGGAGATGTCGACGCCTGTGTCGTTGTCGACTTCGATCTACACATACATGACACGGGTGGACGGTCCAGTGGCATGCAAACCTTGAGCGGGTAGTTGAGTGGCAGCGCGTTGTCGCCTTGCCTGGCCGTGGCCATACAGGCCTTGATGTTGCACACAAGCATGTTGTGGGTGAGCAGACGCATGATTCACCCTAGATGGACGTGCCGCCGCCGCTTTCAATTTGTGCGAAACTGTGGAAACTTATAAACCAATCAAACGATGCGAGGTAACGATTGGTTCTGAATCGACCAATCAAAGTCGCGACCACACAATAACTGGTTCATCCACGTCCATCGCGCAACAAGATGGTGAAGAAGAAGACCAAGTCGAAGCGCCTGTCGTTGCACAAGAAGTACAAGATCCTGCGCAAGGTGCGCGAGCACAAGCGAAAGGAGCGAAAGAACGAGCGCAAGGGCGTTGGCAAGAAGAAGAAGACACCCGGAATCCCCAACAACTGGCCGTTCAAGGAAGAGTTGCTCCTCCAGGAAGAACAAGCGCGCCTTGCGGAAATTGAGCGACTTGAAAAGCTCAAGACCCAGCGCAAGGCCGAAAAGGCGGAAAAGAAGAAGGCAGAGAAACGCATCATCGACGGCCTTGCACAAGTGCCCACGCTCACGCCGCTGTCCGTGAAACAACGTGCCCAAGCTGACCTCAAGGCGGCTGTGACCAAGGCCGACCTCGTCGTGATTGTCCTGGACGCCCGCGACCCTCAGGGATGCCGTGCGTTGAGTTTGGAAGACGGTCTCATTGGCCACGGCAAAAAGGACATCCTGCTCGTGCTCAACAAGGCGGACTTGATATCTCGCGACACTGCGGAAAAGGTGCGCGCCCATTTTGATCTCTCAACGTTTCTCTGACTTGGCTGCGCATAGTGGGTAACTTACCTCCGTCGCTTCCACCCGACCGTCGCGGTCCGCGCCGCCGACAAGTCAATCAAAGACGTGACCCGCAAGACACAGTCCTCTTCATCTCTCACAAGTGCCGCGCTTCACGCCCGCGCTCAAGAACTGTCGACTCTCCGCGACAACGGGTTCGTGGACCCGTTGGCGCATGCGCTCGACGACTACGTGCGCTCCAAGAAGCTGGCCCCAAACACTTTCGTGAACGTTGCGTTGGTCGGGTATCCGAACGTCGGCAAGAGTACTTTATTCAACTCGCTCAAGCGCAAGTCGATTGCCCACGTGTCTTCGAAACGTACGTGTGCCGCCACCCTCCTTCCGCTGCAATGGTTTCAAACTTGTTTTGATGTAGCCCACACGACCAAAGCCCTGTCCGAAGCCCAACTCGGCGAACACATTCACCTGATTGACACACCTGCGCTGGAAACTGCATTTTGCGACCCCGCCAACGTTCTTGTCAAGTTTGGCCTGGCCGAGGAGTACACAATGGAGCCTGTGGAAGCCGTGGACTCGGTCTTGGCCCGCGCGGACATGTGGAATGTTATGCAAATCACGGCGGTCGGCGCGTACAAGTCGACAGAGGACTTTTTGAAGAAGTATGCCGTGAAGAAGCAGTTGACGCGCAAGGGAGGCGATGCAGACGTGCTTTTGGCAGCGCGATCGGTGCTCCAGGCACTGACTCATGGCGGGCTCCCAACCATGACTCTGGCCCCGTCGCAGTCCAAGAGCCGATTCGACCTGCCCAAGTGGTTTGCCATGGACCCTGTCGCCGAGCTCGAACAAAAGTTGTACGCGACCAACCCACTCGCGAAAACGTCGTCGTACTTGACGCTCAAGTGCCAAGGATCGAGCCATCGCACGGGCGAAACCACCGAGTACGATGTCGTCATGGGCACGCTGAAGTTTGAAGACTTTGAGCACGATGAAGAGGATGACGAGGACGTCAATGACGAAGAAGATGAGGACGAGGACAGCGAAGAAGTAGACGACGCAGAGGTGGAAGAGGAAGATGACGTCGAGGACGTGGACGACGTAGAGGAGGAAGAAGACGATGACGTTGTGGAAGTTCCGCCGCCGAAACGAGGTGCCAAGAAAGCTGCTCCTACGAAGATTGCTGCCAAACAGGTCGCGGCCTTGTCTGCGAAAATGGCAGCAACTTCAGAAAAGAAGGTTGGAAAGAAAGCAGCAGCTACGAAAGACGTCCCGCCCGAACCCAAAGAGAGGAAATCGAACACGCCAGATATGATGGAAGCCCCTAAGGTAGAAGCGAAGAAACGGGCGAAGAAGGAAGCTGTGAAGGAACTCGTGGCCACCAAGAAGGCGCCCGTGGCGAAAGTTGCTGAGAAGACATCTATGACCAAGAAAGCACCTACGTCGAAGAAGGAGACTGTCGTGACCAAGAAGGAAACCAATGCAGAGAAGATGGAGGTAGCTGCTCCGTCCCGGAAGCGTGGAGCGGCCTTAATTGAAGAGTCCTCCCGTCGAAACCCCAAGCGTGCGACGCGCACTTCAGCCAAATAAAGAACTTGTTAATGGACCACATATATTCTACTTGAAAAGGCGTCGCCATCCCCCTCTCCATCGAGCGCAGGGCGGCTGAACGGCGCCACTTCCGCCATGTGATCGCACCATCACAGTTGCGATATATTCGTCAACTTGAAAATTGTATCGAGCAATCGAGTTGCAATATCAATTCGCTACGAGGAAAGTGCTTGTATCGAGGGTTCATCATCGAGTCATGGGGCATCGTCGAAACGATGAGCCTGTGCCGCGTGTGCAACCACCACCATGAAGAGGTCCGCGCTGCTTCTGATGCGCTGTCTATGGCAACGAGACTCATCTCCACGCGCCCGTCTTCTAGGGGGTGAGGTGCTCGATCTGTGGACACACCGGCAAGAGCAAAGTGTTCCAGTTCCTCAAGGTGTGTATGAACTAAGTCGTTTGCGCTGTGCATACTGCGATGTGACTGCTTTCCTCGCAGGCAAACCGACCCATTAACCAGTTGCGCTTCGTGTCGTTCCGTGTCAATGGAAACAGCGACAATCCATGCAAGGGGAACTGGTGCTTTGCGCGTCTACTCCGCGAACGGAATTTTGGCACGGCTTCCACAGGTCTCTTCGACGATTCCGATGTGAAAACGGCCAATCACGTCCTCACATTTGGTACAACTTCTCTCTCGACATCGTTGCGTGAATGCGTTCGTAGTTGGCGATGCCCCCGTTGCCGCTGCACGGTGGGGGTGGGCTGTAGAGAACGGGGTAGAAATCGCAGTCATCGACAAGCTAGGAGTGGTCGACATTCGACGACGCCGCACGTATGGCACGTACACCTTGACCAATATCATTGAGGTAGCGTCCATGACCTTGAGTCCATGAATCACGGCATCCCCGCAGGACATCAAGGCAAAAGTAGCGACAGAAAGTCGATTACTGTATGCCATAGTCGCCCACGTTCCACACGACCCGACGCATCCTGCATGGAAGACCTTCGTGAAGTGCGGGTTCCAGCCGATGGGGGAACCCATCGCCATCGTGACGAGTCCAGACCCGTGTGCAAAGATGGTGCTGCGCTGTAGTTGAGCGGCGTGGCCTCATCAACTTGTGTCTGCGCATTTTCTAAATATGGAGTCCATCTACTATGTTGCATAGATGAAGCATTTAAATGATTTTGATTGAATTGCATACAATTTGAGAATTCAATCATCTATTTCTTGCATAAATTTCAATCTTCTATCTCTTCCCGCAACCTGTACGATTGATGAAGCCCCACACACCGTTCCACAGGCTCATTCGAGGCGTGAGGTCCCATCCTTCATACGTTGCGCCTCGTCGCTACAGTCGGCGCAATCGCAGATACCATCGCCAATTGTGGTCACAGGCACCGTTTGCACGGGTTTTGGGGCTCGGCATGTGAACTGCAGAACTGGAACGACGTGGGAGCATGCACTTGTGTGGGGCTCGTCCAGCCCGTCTTCCAAACAATCGCAATAGTTGTCGTCCACTTGAATAACGCTATAGAATACTCGCTGGTGAACACCACACGCCATTCGCCCCTCTTGGCGCAATTTCAAAGCGGGTGGCGAAGACGCTTCCGCTGTGTCCGTTTCTTTCACATACAGGAGGACCATGACACACACCACAACAAAAATCTTCCAACCATGACGGCGGACGTCAAACCAGCGGCGATTTGTAGACGACCTGTCGTCATCCTCAAAGTATTCGCGGCGACGTTGGTTCAGTGGGCGGCCTCCGCGCCGATTGCGCGCTGGGCTGTCCATGTCAAGGTTGCGAGGAAGACTTTGCCCCTATGAATCTAACTAGGTTATTAGTTTTCAAAGGATAGACATTTAAGAGAAGTGACATTTATTGCAACTTGATCAAGGTTTTGCGGAGTGTCGCGCCACGGCGGTGCAAGTAATGCCTTCAGCGATGCGATTCCGTATCTTCTTGGGCATGCTTCAGTGAGAACGATCGCATGAGCCATGACTTGAGCAGTCGAGGCTCTGTTAACACCAACAAATCAAGCTCTATCTGTCGAGCGTCTTGAAGTGTGGCCAGGATGGCGTATACACGCCTGCTAGGGGGAAGTGCCAGCTCGATCCACTTGGGATTTCAGCGCGCTGTACATAAGGTAGAAGAAGCCCCGTGGCGGCAGAAAGCACCAACAGTTTGTCCGCAACACTCGGCTGCGTGCAACCAGATCGCTCAAATTATTTGGCTCTACTACAATTGGCTGGAATTGCTTACGATATTACAGAGATAATCGCACAATGTGGAGAGGAATCGGTATATATTTTGACGAAATCCCTTTACCACCAACACTTCAACATTGGCACTCCTGGGTAAGATCGTGGCGCACAGGCGGATGCCTCACGGACGAGATCATTTGAAGTTGTCCCGACGTCCATGAACATCAACCGTCCGAAGCCAGCCAAAGGCTTGACTATGGGCACCTTCTTCGGTGCGTTCGGGTCGCCGATCCGAACGTCGTACATGGATCAAGCAGCCCCAAACAACCGTGACCAACATAACCTTAGTCCGGCGCGGAAACCACGGGCCCGGTCTGCATCCGACGAAGTTAGCGGAAACGACTTGACCAACCCCGATGAACTAAAAAATAACACCGTTGCCACCGGCGATGACGACGACGCAGATATTGCTGACGACGTCGCAACGATTCGCCTTGATCGGACGCAAGCTGCGCCATCTCCCATGGAGCGCCGCGACGACTACCCACCTGAGCATGCAGCCCCCAAGGTACCTCAAATTCAACTTGACGTGGCCAAAAAGGCCAAGATTCCACTCTTTCTCAAGTCGCCATTCTACGCCGCCGCGCAACCTGCGCCTCCTGCAGCCGTAGCAGCTCCTGCACCGGCCCCTGCGCTGGCCGCAGTTCCCGTGCGTGCCAATGCGCAGCCGGTGCCGGTTGGTCGAGCGACCTTATCTCGACATATCAACTTTACCGACGTCAAGTTGGGCCGTGTGATCGGCGAAGGTGCGTTCGGCAAAGTCCACGAAGGCAAGTGGCGTGACCGGCCCGTTGCTGTCAAGCTGCTCATTTGCCAGGATCTGCGGGCGGACATTCTCGAAGAATTTCAGTCGGAAGTGGAAATCATGAGTGTGCTGCGGTACGCGGTTGCGACGTGCCCCAACACTGGGCGCCTCTGACTTGGCTGGTAGGCACCCCAACATTTGCCGTCTCCTTGGCGCGTGCATGGACCCACCAAACCGATGTCTTGTCGTGGAGCTGCTGCCACGTGGGTCACTCTGGGGAGTTTTGCGCACTAGTCGCTCCATTGACGAAGCGAGGCGTATTGGGTAAGGCACATAGCAGAACGAATTTACCCCATCCACCGATCCATCGACAGGTTCATCAACGACACGGCCAAGGGCATGAGCTACCTGCACAACTTCCAGCCGCCGATTTTGCACCGCGATTTGAAGTCGCCTAACTTGCTCGTGGACTGCCACTACGCAATCAAGATCTCGGACTTTGGTCTGTCCCGCGTCAAGGCGCATGTCCAGACCATGACTGGCAACTGCGGCACCGTGCAATGGATGGCGTACGGCCGCTGCATCTGTGAACAAAACTGACCGAGGAAATTTGTCGTAGGCCGGAGGTCCTCGGGAACCAAAAGTACACGGAGAAGGCAGACGTGTTTTCGTTTGGGATTGTGATTTGGGAATGCGTCACGGGCGAGTGTCCGTACGACGGCATGACTCAAATTCAAGCGGCGCTCGGGGTACTCAATCGTAATCTCCGTCCGGTTGTGCCCAAGACGTGCCCGCCATTCCTGGCGCAACTCATGAAGGCGTGCTGGGCGCGACAACCAGAGCTACGTCCGTCGTTCTTGCAAATTGTCAGCGCGCTCCGTGATTACAGCATTCGAAAGAGCATGGGCGAGCAGCCCCACCAGCACAAGTAATGAAAACGATCGAATCATGTGCATTAAGGAGTAATCGCCCTCAATTGCAAACGACAAGCCGATGGTGCTAATGCGGATTCGCCTAAAAGCTGAACGGCAATTGATTGCCAGGAACGAAGCCGCGGTGGCACCCTTCTTCGTTGATGGTGACGGTGCGGATGACGCCACCGGAGCTCCCGTCGCGGGCCATCGCGTGGGACAACGCCTTTTGCACAAACGATTCTGCTTCGTCACGGCTCATACCTGCTCGCCAGTGGCTGTCGACGAACCCGTAAATGTATGCTGAACCAGACCCGCCGATCGCATAGTCTTGTTCCACGAGCGCACCCCCGATGGGGATCGAATAGACTTGTCCGCCTTTGACCTTGTCATAACCGGCAACAATTATCCCTGCCATCAATCGGTCTTTGTTTTCGTAGCAGAGCTTGCGGAACAGCGTCGCGGCGGTGTGCACCTTGGGCAGCGCATCCCCTTCCAGCTCGTCCGCGTGGGAAGCAATGAAGTAACGAACATAGTCGGACAGAGCTTGCGTATCAGCGGCACTGCCCGATCGGCAGCAGTAGATGCGATCGTGGATGCTCGTGAGTTTGTCCGATACACGGTTTGCTACGTACGTCCCAGTCGACGTGCGACTGTCCGCGCCAAGCACGACTCCGTCTTTGTACTTGACAGCAATGATGGTCGTGCCAGAGCTCACTTCCCCAGCCTTCAGGTTGTACCCGCTGCTCTCGTCTCGCTCAGTCTCGTTCGTATATCCGCGGGCAAGGTTCATTATCTTGTTGGATCTAATTTCTTTCCGCTTCTGCCTTCTGGGGTGCTGATGCACTACCTCTAACATCCTGATATTATTATTTTATATCGGTTTAACCGGAAGTGCAATTGCGGTATCCGTTTGATTAGCAAGAGATAATTGGCCGAAATCCAAAACTTTCCACAAATCAACGCCAGCATAATCACAAGATTTTGTAATTCAAACCACCTCCCGCGCAGCAGAACCAGCTTGGCGGCAACTCTTGCGCATCCATCGCATAAACTACCACCGCCCACATGAGCGAGGACTTTCGGCAATCGCACCACTCCAATGATCCTTCTCGCAGCGACAGCCGCCCCCACCGACCATCATCAACCGCATTGTCTCCGGGATCGAGTCCGCTGCAGTTGGTCATCCACCGCCTGCAAGGGGAATGCGAGCAACTTCGAGCTGAAAAGCGTGACTTGGAGCGAAAAGTACAACAAGAGGCGGTCAAAAGCTCGCGCTTCGTTGCAGAAACGAATGATGCTCAGCGACACCTCATGGTGGAGAACCAGCGCTTGCAGAGCGAGGTGAGTCACCTCAAGGAAAAGTTGCGGGATTACGCTTCGGCACTGGAGTTGGCAAACGACCGCCTCAAGCAAGTTGATGCGAGCGAACGCCAAGCGTCACTCAGATGTGAAGTGTTGGATGACACAGTTCGGGAACTAGAAGCAATGACGGTGCGGCAGCGACAATCCATGGAAAACCAGGCGCACGACGTGGATCGCTTGAACGAACTCGTCGCACACTTGGGCAACGAACGAGATCAACTCATCGAACACACAGAAGCTGATGCAAAGCGAGTGCGGGCATTGTGGGAAGAGACGATGCTACAGCATAAAGCAGAAGTGGCGTCGTTGGAGCGGACCGTGGAACGCGCGCGGAAGGACTCCCGCATGTTCCAAGCCCACTTGACCAAGTGCGAGGCGGAGTCCCAAGAGTTACGATCCAAGCTAAGCCAAGCGTCTCTCGTTGCATCGCAGGACGCGCAAAGGATACAGCAACTGGAGCATGATGTGACGGCTATGCGGCAAGACCTTGGCAAATCCCATGATCGAACAGTGCAGCTCAGCGATAGCTTAAAGACGGTGGCCCTTCAAGTGGAAGAACTAGCTTCGAAGCTTCGATGGACAGAAGAGCAACTGCAAGACACCACGAAGATGCTCGAAGCGTCTCAACGGGCGGCGCAAATTGACGCCGACGAACTCCAGAGCACGTTGGAGCAGCTGGAAATTCTCAAAACGGAGTTTTCGGCGTCGATGGAGACGTACGAATCTACCATTCACGAACTGAAGCACAACGCCACCGTCAAGTCGACGAAGGAGGAGCAACTCCGTGTGGAACTCGCCAGCGAAAAGAAGTACGCAGCGTCGTTGACGGCGATGCTGAAGACTTACATGGTCGATTCCCACCGTGTTTTGTCGGAAGTGGATCATAAACTGTCCGACTTGAACGAGCATTGCCATCGAGAAGACGACCCGACCAGTGACGACGACATAGGAAGCCGAGGACCATCGTTGCAGCCGATTCGGCTACCGAGGCGGCCAACGCAGGCCAACTCGCTCAGTATATTTGCCCACTAGGGTGCGCATGTCGAGCCGCCAAGCGGAAGTCCCATGGACTGTTCAACTTCCTCGCCAACGCCGCCATCTTTTGTGGATGCGATTCCGGCTCTTGATCGGGTGAATGCATTGACCTCTGTAAAATAATATTTTGAACGACCATTGAATGTCAGAATTTGCTCGAGCGGCCCTGGAGTAGAGAACCAAAGAAACATCGATCGTCAAATGGAGGCGGACCGACCAAGCGGAACGGCCTCGGATGCGACTGGTACTGGCGCCTGCAGCTTGAAGATGCAAGAAGTGATAGAAGCGTGACAGGTTGGTGTATGTGTAGGGGAATCGCCTATTCAGAATACGTACACGTTCTGGTACATGAAAAAGAACTCGGGCAAAGCGGTAGGGCCTCCTGGCACTCTGTCGATCACACAAACGTACGTGCTCAACGGCGCTTGTGTAGTTGGAAGACCAAGAAAGCTACGAGAAGAGCATCAAGGAGATCGCAGAGTTCCGTACCGTGCAGGGTTTCTGGCGCGTATACAACCACTTGATTCGACCGAATGACTTGCCCAACACAACGGATTACCACTTGTTCAAGGCTGGCATCAAGCCGATGTGGGAGGTATGATGGCCACCCGCGTATGGGCGCCACACTTTGACATGTATCTACGCAGGACTCGGCCAACCGCCGCGGCGGCAAGTGGATGATCCGTATACGCAAGGGCATTGCGTCGCGCTACTGGGAAGACTTGGTCTGAGACGCAAGCACCGTACCTCATGGCTCATGTTGTAATAGGTGTTGGCGATCATCGGCGAGCAGTTCGACGTCGGGAACGAGATCTGTGGTGCTGTCATGTCCATTCGATACAACGAGGACATCATTTCGCTGTGGAACCGCAATGCCGACAACAACGAAGCTTGTTACAGAATACGGTAATGAACTATTCATGGAGGAAACAATTAGCTGAAGTGGTCCGTCATGCAGCGACACGATGCGCAAGGTGCTCAACTTGCCGCAGTTCGCCTCGCTCGAGTACAAGCGCCACGACACATCGTTGAACGACAACTCAAGTTTCCGAAACACGACTGTGTGGCGCAACGGCGAGAAAGGGCGCCTTGCGGACGATGGCACTCCGATGTCGCCATCTGCCAACGCCGGGAATGCTTCTGGCGGGAGCCAGCAGCAGCAGGCGCGGCATCACAACAGTCAGTCGTCTCAGCAGTCCCGAGGAGATCGATCGAGTGGATCGAACCGCAGCGGCAACAACCGACGCGACAATTCCCGCAACACGGGTGCGTGGACGCGCGACACGACGATCCGTGAAAAGAAGGACCGCGCGAGCAGTTTTGTGCGTAACGACTCGTCCACGGCTGCGGAAGATGTAGCCCTGCAATCGTAGAACGACAAGAAGGGTAGAAAGACAAGCCGCACGAACGAGAATCTGGTTGATCATGCATGTGCTCGTGAATGCAGGACGCCATGGATGGATAGAGAAATCGTACATAGTCAACTGTATTCTTGGGCACTTTAAGGATGGACGCGACACCGGCCTCCCTATTCCTTTGCAGGTGGTGGGATCGAACGAGAGGGAGCAGCATGGGTAGCAGCGGCATGTGCTTCTTCGATAGATGGAGGCATGCCAACCTTCCGAAGGGTATCATTGAAGATGTACACTCCCGAGATGGCGCCAACGATCACGGCGAACGCCACGTCCAACAACGGCGTGCGGCGGCGGTACCGAGGGCGCAAACTGTAGCCAGGTTTGGAATTCATTGGTGTTTGAGAAGTGGCAGTATAATATGCTGCAGGAAGTTCACAAATGTACTATATATTCCAGGTTTCTGACAACGTATGCTAGATTTTCACGAAAATTGCATCAAATTGTACATTTTCACGATTATTTGAACGATAAATGGAGGTGAAATCGACGAAAATATCGGCAAATCGGCATCCCACCTAAGCATTTGCGGTCGCTCACCACGCACGGCGAAGATGCAGCACCTAGGGAGCGCATCTTCATCCGGGAGTGGCGCTTCGGCGTCTCTAACGTCGTCATCACACTATCACGTTCAAGCGAGCGAACTTACAGGCTCTGTCCACGGCGTGCTCCTTCGTTTGGGCGACACGAACGTCCTCCTCAACTGTGGCAATTTGTCGCCAACGTCTTCCGTGCCAATTACGTCGTTCTCATCATTGGGCATCGCTCCGGGCACAATCATCAGCGCCATATTGATCACGGATTGGCGTATCTCGAGCAGCGGCATGCTTCCAGCGGTGTTGTCGGCATACCATAACCACCATAATCGGAACAAGGGCAAGGAGAAGCAGTTCAAACAGCAAGCCACAGCGCCGCCATCCGTGCCGCCTCCCACCGTCTTCTTGACCCACGCAACAAGAGCGTTGCTTCCACACATTATCAAAGAATGCAAAATGGACACGACCACCAACCCCATCGCACTCTTGGCCGACATGACGCTCGCGGCCATGACGACCTTATCCTTTGGCGAACCGCACGTTCACGTCTTGTCTGGCCAAAACAACCTCACCATAACCGCCCATCGCGCTGGCCACGTTGTCGGAGGATGTCTGTATTCGCTTGAGCTTGATGGCATCCAGGTGTGTGCTCCTCTCGATAGAATTCCATTCACGACGTTCCCTAGATTGCATTCGTGGATGGAGTCAACCTCCACGGGTCTCGCATTCTACTTCCCGCACAACTCCCACCTCGTTCATCGCATGTCGCGATCGTCAACAGTGCGTACGTCGTCGAAGTGTCGGAAACCCGCACCGTGCTCGAGCGCGAACTGTGCAAGGAGATTCGCGACACGATCTTGGCCAACGGGAAAGTGATCATTCCCGTCTTCGGTGTCGGGGCTTTCTTCCACGACTTGGTGGCGCTGCTGCAAGACTACTGGAGTGCCATGCAGTTCCAGCACATTCCGATCTACGTGACGTCGGAGAGCCTGTTGGGGAAGGCATTCTTGCCACTCTTTGTCGACTCGTACACTCCGTCCTTCGTGAATCGATCGGTCCATGTCCCAGTGAAGAAAATCCCCGACATGAAGGTCCTAGAACCAAAGCGCCCCATGGTCATCTTCACGACCGGCGCGTCCATCAGCAGCGGCGATACCCATCAAGTGCTTCGCGCTTGCGGCCACCAACCCGACAACTTGCTCGTGCTGTCTGAATTCCGTACTCGAGGTACGACATTCCACACTGGTTGCCATGGCTTACAGGTAAGCTGCTGACGAACCAGGGACGGTGAACCATGCATTTCTCAACAACGTGGCATGCCCAGACCTGACCAAGAGCTTCGTTGACTCCATCGTGTGCCGCTTGCATACGTTTCCATGTGGCGATGAAGTCGACTGCCGCGAAGTGGTCGAACTCGCGCGCCAGATTCGTCCGTCCACGAGTCTCTTGTTGCGCGGCGCGGATGCCAGCGATCCGTTTCTGCTGGAGGCGCTGCGGCCGTTCCACTTGCCCGTCACGTCGCTCAAGGACGACGACGTGTGGACAGGATCGATTCCACGGGACCTGAATGTGCGACTGCGGGGAAACCTGGCGTTCCAGCGCGGCGTTGTGCCGACGCTGTTGTTGGCCGAGCCACGTAAGACACTTTACTTTAACAACGAACAGAGCGGAGTTCGCCGGCTCAAGAAAAAGAAGCACTCCCTCGCGTTCGGCCATACTTGGAAGTACCCGAAGAGCAACTTCTCCACGAAATCGCACAAGGCCAGTACACACAAGAGCACGCCGTTCCGACTGTCGATGCTGCTCTCGAACGAAGCCAGTGAGGACGATGACTCGGACCATGCCGAGACCGACGTCGAGGCGAACGTCGTGTACGTGGTGGACGCGATTGTGTCGACGTTGCACCAGTGGCTTGGTCTGGACGACCACAAGCTCGAGCGACAACCCACGTGGCTGCGCGTCGCTACAGTTGAGGTGACAGTCACTACGGATTGGAGCATCACGATGAACTGGTCGTACGAAGACGAAGAGCTGGCCAGCCGTATCTTTGGGCTCTGCCAACGCGTTGTCGAGGCCCAGTACTGCGATGCACATCGTTAAAGATGAACTCTCCATTATTCGCCTGTCTCCCGTCAGTAGATGTGATGCGACTTCTTTCATGCAGTCCTTGGGATCACTGCTCCATCGTATGGCATGATGCTGGTGTCGTCCGTGCGGTCGTCGGCGCGCAGCAGGCCATGTTGAAGGAATGTTGGTGAGAGAGCATCCCGAAATGTTGGTCAAGTGCACTCGTTCGGGTGCGTGATGACAACAATATTAAATATAGGGACGTTCCATTGTATACAAAAAGCAAGTGGAAGGTCAAGTGGAGGTATTTTATTTTATCCGAACGTGTAGAAGCGGCGGATTCCGAGAACATCGCGACGAGAAGTCTTTGAATATGATGGATGCAGGCGACGATGTGCACCTCGAGGAAGGGCAGAACATCCAGAACAACACGCCAAACACGATCGACTTGTCGCCGTCGACATTTAAGTCGTCGCTACCATACTCGAAGAGTCCCCGCCATGTCGGTGCCGTTGGGACGTTCCGGTACCTGACCCCGAGCGATCTCAAGAACAGCAGTGGCAAGGCACCGTATGACTTTGCCGTGATTGCCCATCGGGCTGTGCAACAAGGTCCGACGGGATGTTGGTTTTGGCCGTTCAATACGGCGGAGCGTCTGGGGTTTCGACGGCTGTGCATGGTGAGTAGTCCATTGCTTGAAGACGGTGAAGACGAACACCGGCGTATCGTGGAAAAGCTATGTGCACAGGGGCTGTCCATCGACATCATTGATGGGGGCCATTCGATGGGGGAAATGACGTCGGATTACTTCATGCTGCTCATTCGTGCAAGCGACGAAGTCGCGACCGCGTACGCCAAGAAGTTTCGGCGCAAGCTGTGGCTCGACCACGGCGGAGTGTGCGACATGCCCCAGGACTTTATGGACCACGACAAGCGGCCGATCACTCCCGCCGAACGCATCCAGATCGTCGAGTACATTGTGGAGGTCCGCGCGCAGTTGAGCAGGACAAACGACAAGTGGATTCATGACATGTTTCCCGTGCACGATCCAAAGATGACGACACAGCTCTTGACCAACTTCATCGCGGCATGTCCGGGGACATTGGAACGGCGCAACGGGCAGTTTGTCGATGCGATTCGACACAACTTTGGCGAAAAGGTCGCGTACTACTTTGCGTTCATGCACTTTTACAACAAGGCGTTGCTGCCGCTTGCGCTGTTGGGGCTTGCAATGCAGATCCTGCATTCGTCCATCTCGACCACGGCGTACATGCGCCTGCTGCCGTTCTGGGGCGTGGGTGTGTCGGTGGTGTGGTCGTTTCTATTCCTCAAGGCATGGGACCGCGAGAACTCGAGGATGCAATTCGCATGGAACGCGAAACTCCACGTCAAGCAAATCGAGTACCCCAACCCATTGTTCCATGGCAAGGAAGCCGTGAATCCGCTGACCGGCGAACCCACCAAAGTGTACGCAGCATGGCGGCGATACCCCGTCTACTTCGTCGGCATCGTGTTCATGTTGCTCCAGACAGCCATCATGCTCATGTTGGTCGCGCTCTGGGTCAGCATCTACGAGATGCTCAAGGACAAGTACAAGTCTGGCGGGCTGTTTTCGACCCAGTGGTTCCTGATCCTGGCCGAGGGGATTGTGTTTGGGTTTTTCGTCGACGTGGTGCAGTGGAATGTAGTCGTCACAAACGTCGCGCGGCTCTTCACAAAGTGGGAAAATTACCCCACGGAAGAGCGCCACGAGCGCGCGCTCATTCGAAAGCTGTTCCTGATGGATTTTCTCAACTATTACACGTGGTTTTTCTCGCTCGCGTTCGTATACGTGGTCCCGACCTTTGGCGACGCGCTCACGAACGTGTTCAACACGGTCTTCTTTCATGACACGCCAAATTGTTGCTTTGGCCCGTACCTGAAGGAGGTCGGTCCGTTTGCGTACGAGTGCAGCCGGTGTCCTGGCGGCGACTCGACCAAGCTGTGCACGCCGTGCACGGGCTGGTTTACGTTTGACGTGCACCACGTCGACTTGAGCGCGATGTTTGTGACGCCGATCGTGGTCACTCAACTTCTCAACATCCTGATCAACACGGTCATGCCGCTCTTGAGCAAGTGGCGCCAGGAGCGGCTGCGGGCGGCAGCGGACGCAGACGCGCACCAACGCGTGATGGAAGCCGGGTCGATGAAGATTCTCGGCAACCTGGATTACGACAAGAGGTACGATCGCGACATTGCATCGATCCACGGATGGGCATGTAGTGGCCACTTTGGCAACAAGGACCAGTCGCGGTACTTGGAGTACACTCCCGCCGAGATCGAGACGCTCAACCAAAAAGCGCGAGAGATTCTGTTTGAAAGCGAACAAGCGCAGTACGACCCGTACAACGATTTCCACCAATTGACGGTGCAATATGGCTTCACCGTGATGTTTTCCATCCTGTGGCCGCCGATGCCGATGGCGTGCATGCTGGTCAACTACCTCAAAGTCCGAACGGACGGCTACCGGCTGTGCCGCACCCTCAAGGTATGATGCACGCCGCCATTGAGCCGCGCATCATGTGTGTGCGTCTGTAGCGGCCATTCCCCCGAAAAGCCAACGGCATTGGCGCCTGGCGCGACATTTTTGGCACGTTTGCTTATGTTGCCGTCGTTGTCAACGTACGTGCAGTTGCGTTTTGGATGGAATTGGTCATGTCGTCGCGGTAGATTCTGCTCGTGTGCATGTCGACGGGCAGCATGGAGTTTTACAGCGATCTGTGCATCAAAGATTACTCGTTCAACCTGGAGAAGGAAGGCAAGACGTTGGTGGACTTCGTCATGGGGCCAAATTTTTACTGCCTCAACTTCACGCTCCGCTTGGTTGTGATCATCGTGCTGGAGCACCTCTTCCTCGTCGTGGCATACCTTTTCATGCTCAAGATTCCGGGGGTTCCGTCGTCACTCCAAGCTATCATGGACGCCCGCGAACACAAATTCAAAAAGTTGCTGGAAGCCCACGAATGTCACCTCCCACTGGACCAAGTCCTCGTGAATAGTCCGCCGACGGAAGACCAAGCCCCGACAAAGGCGCGGTCGTCGAGCTTCAAGACCAAGTCCCCACCCAAGGACAAGAACGACTCGTTCAAGCGCAAAGAGTCCTTGACAGACAAGGCGGCACTCGCGCGGCAATGGTCCGACTAGCTGGCCACACGTGAGGCGACCTCGAATGTATTTACCTCGTTGTTGTTTGGTTGTATTACTGTGCGCTGCACCACATTCGAATCGTCTGCACGACGGACTGTTGCTGCGAATCGCTTTCCTGTTGCGTTTTCGAATGCGTCGACAGCACGCCAGCAGCGTTAGTCTGCTTGCAAGGTCAACTGTTGGCGCGACCGGAGGGAGAACAGTGTGCGAGCTTGGCTGCTTCTGGATCGACAGGCTGACGATGTTGCATCTGTGGATGGCCGTGGTAGATAGCTGTCGGAGGGCGGTGACTCGGGTGGGAGCTGTTGTCGTTGGTAGATGAAGCGCGTAACGGTACGACGTTACACTTGAAGCGACGGGGACGTCGATGGCGTCGGCACCCGTCGAGAAGCGGCAGCAGCGATGCTCACAAGGGTCCAAGTCCAACGTGGGAGGAGGACCTGCACCGCACATGAAGAAGCTCAAGTCGCGATCGAAACACTCGTTCCGTTCTGGGTCGTCAAACCTGGAGGCGGCGATTCTGGCCGCGGCCGTCCATGACAACGAAAACGACGAGCATCCTCACGACGGCAAAACGTTTGCTGCGTCGTACTGGAAGCAGCAAGTCCTTGCGTCCAAGCGCAAGCTCAGCGCCGTCGTCGACCGCCACACCCGCGACATCTACGATCTTCACCACAAGCTCCGACGCACGCCCGACGTCGCGCTGCCCCAGCTCGACCTCCTTGATCGCGCACGTGACGCGACGCTGCGCCAAATCGTATCCAAACCAGTGCCAACTCGCGACACGGTGCCAGCGACTATTCCACAGCCTTCGACTCTCACCGAAAGACGGACTAGGTCCACATCGATCGACTCTTGGACAAGGCGGACGCTCGAGCGCTGAATGTCCCGACGTCGCTGCACGCACATGTGGTCGAGCACATCGGCGACCTCTTGGCGCGTTGCCGCGTCGCACAGGCTCATGTAGGCAAGGTGTGGATGGCCTGGGAAGATGCTGACGTGGGTCTACCTAGACGCTGTCGTCCCTCGTTCGAACGGCGTTTCCATCGAGCCATCTTTTGGAAGCGTACGACACTCAGACCGCCGCCCTCCAGGCCCGCCACGACGACCTCCGTTTTCAATTGGCACGGTAGGGTGCATGGACATATCGCAAGTTGTGTGGAAGAAATTGTTGCGAATATGTGCGCCAGGTTGAAGTCGACAGATGCAGTCGAAGCGACGGACCTCAAGCACTTTTTGCGGTTCCTCGAGACCAAGCACGCGGTCACAAAGCTCGCGAATCGCTTTGCCCACCGCATGGAGCTCCTCAAGCACACCCATCGCAGTGCGATCCTGCGCCGCATGCACCAGATTCTCATGCCTCCACCCCCCCCCGTCGCATCGTTGGACAGCACTCCGGTTGTCAAGGCCAACACGTCCACCCCCCCCAAGTTCCTGCTGCAAGTACGACAGTGCTCGTTTGAACGGATGGACATGGTGTCACGATTTCGCTTGACCAGGAACACGCGATGGATTTGGAGATTGCCGCGCTTAAGACAAAGCTTGGCATCGAACAACCGACGGTGTCGAGCAGCCCCGAAGACCTGCTGCAGCAATTGCGGCGGGACTTCGGCACACTCTTCAGTCGCCATGTCGCGCCATACCAAAGCGACGCCATCATTCGAAAGGACGCGCCGACTCGATCGGGCACAGACGGCAACCCAACCATCTTCCCCCATGTCCCAACACCCCACCGCCAACAACGCATCGGGGTGGTGGAGAAAAAAATGTCGAATTGCATGGTCCTCGAAGCCGAGATGAAATTTTGCAGCGCCGTGGAAGCCCAGCACGTCTTGGATCGCTTGGAAGGGCTGGCCGCGAGCCACGTCAAGCGCGCCCTCTTGACCATTGATGCCGTCGAACTACGAGAGAACTCTGGATCGCTAAATGAACGGCTGGCACTTGCTGAGCCCCCCAATGCGCCTACTTTACCCGATGCGAAAGTCAAGGCGTACTACATCCTTCGGCTCCTCGCGATTCGGCAGTGCAAACATCGCATGGTGGAATTCCTAAACTACTTCCGAGCAGTTGAGGCGCACATCTTGCTCGATTGCGACGAATCGATGGCAAACGTCCGCGACACACCCGTAGAGAGCAGCCCCGCCGCAGCCGCGCCCCCCGAACGACATTATGACCGCCTTGATGAGGCCAACGACATGCGTATGGTTGACCATGCTGACCGACCGTTCGTCTACTCGACGGCATGGGACGATCTCATCGACATCGAGCAGGACATGCTATCGATCGGAAGCGCCGTGGCTTCATTTGACGAGCGGGAGACGCTCAAAGCCGGCGCCGAGCGCAAAGTTGTCGCAGTCGTCGATCGGTTCAGCGTCCTGCGCGACCTCTACGAGTGTGAATCGTGGTTCCTTGAAGCAAAATTCAAGTTGGTCCGGCGGCTCTTCGACGATGTGTACATGCACGCATACGGCCGCGAGGCGCAGCGGCAAGTTGCGCAAGACTTGCTCGACCTCGTCGCCGAGCGCCCGATGGTCGACTTGACGGAGCGGTACTTCTGGGATGCTTACGTGTCGCAAGTGATCGCGACGGAGATCCAAACAAAGTCGCTGGCTGGCGTGCTGGCTGGCGTCGACGCCAGTCTCGAAGACATGCTGTTTTCAACCGCAGAGGCGGCTGTCGTTGTGCGCACATCCACGAGGCAAGCGATCGCGGCCATGGACACGTCGATGCCCCACTTGACCACGATCGAGCGTCTGTCGATGCGCCGCGCGGTGCACGAGCAAGCGGTCGTGTGCTGGCACATCGTCGTGACGGAGGAACGCGAGTACGTCACTGCGTCGTCGTCAATCCATGCCGCCGTCTTTGCCAACTACTACGCAAAAGATAGCGGCGTCGGCACACTCATTGAGCAAGCTGCGAACGACGTGTACCGCCGCCACATTCAAAGCCATCCCTTGCCGAACGAAGAAAGTCTCGGCGACCAGGTGCACCATCTCGGAACGGCCTACGTCCAAGTGCTTAGCCGTGCAGTGTGGTTCTTCAAGTTGCAATGCGAACTGGGCCAGCACTTGTATGCCACCGGTCTCCTGGAGCAACTGCATGCGTCGCACATGCAGCAGCTCTTTGCCGACGACGGCTGCCCCGTCGTACCCATGGGCCGCACGAAACCCGCGTCCTCCGTGCTGGACCAGAGCCCCGCGATTGAAGCGCTCTCGTTTGTGTCGGTCCTGCGGACATCGTCGACGCTCGACTGGATCGCGCAGCACTTGACCGAGGCCCAGCTCGAGTGGCTCACACTTACCGTCCACGTCCAGGAGTCGGAGCGCGCGTTCTTGGAGGAAACCCTCCGGTTCAACGCGATGTTGCTCGAGCCGATCCTGGATTTTCAGGCGTCGCATCCGAAGTTGACGGCCAAGCACGTCGCCAAGTTCCTCTCGAGCGCCACGATCGACCAGAACCACAAAAACTTTCTCGCCCAAGTCCAGAGCGTCCTTGGTCAGCGCACGCTCTACGATAAGGTGACGACGCGCATCCAGGTGGAGCTCAAAACGACGAGCGCGCTGTGTCTGCATGCGGAAAACCACCGCCAGTCCATTCGCGCAGTCGTGGCAAGCCGCGTCGACATGCACCCGGACACGCCCCCGACAAACTTGGTCGCCGAGTACATGGCGGACCTTCTCGAGTCCGTTCAGATCGAAGGTCTCATGACGCAACTCAACACGCATCTCGAAGCGATGCGAGTAGTTTCGAGAGATTTGCCTGCATCTACGATCAATCCGTTCGTGGTCGGTGGGTTCTCGGACCGCGATACCCTCGAGTCGTGGCTGCTGAGGGAGCTGTCCCCGATGGAGGAGCAGCTCAGTGTCGCGCCGACCGTCGCCGTCGACGGCGTCAAAATGGCAAAAGGCGAGTCAACCTACTCGCTGTGGTGTGGTGCTCAAGGCGACATTGTCTCGATGCAGTACATTCCGCACCCGCATGAGCTTCTCAAGCGCTTCGCAAAGACAGATGTGGCAAACGGCCGCGTGGTGTTCCGGCTTGTTCGTGATTTAGAACGAGATGTGCGCCAGATCCTGGCGCTGTACCATTCCCTTGCGTCTGTCGTCGATGCGCTCGTGTTTCGAGCCGCGCTGCATCGTCCAGGTTCGGACGAAGTGCTGGGCGGCGAGTTGCGCGACATGGTATCGTCTAGTTGGATTTCTTGGGGGAAATTTGACCGCTTCGTGTGGTGCCATAGTTGCATCAATTGCACCACGACTGCTTCTCGCGACTCAACGATCCCGCGTCGGCGCACGGCACGCACCATGTGAACGACGTCATGCTCGAGTGGCTCCAGGTCAAGCGCGAATTCCTACACACGCTGCGGGCGACCGCTCTCAAAGCGGTCGTGAACGACATCTTGATGGCGAGTGCCGCGGCCGCCCCACCGTCTCGCCTTCTATCGTTCCAGTACTTGATCGACGAAGGCATGGAGATCGTTGGAAGTTCATCTGTGGCTGACGCTCGTCTAGGTCGTGCGCTTGTTCTCGACGACACAACGTGCGAGGGGCCAGCGACAACCCGATTCGTTACGGGCCTGTCCACGGCCGACTGTACAGCCGCGAGACAGGTGTGGAAGCTGCTCGAGACCCGTGCGGGGCCCACTGGGGGCATCACGTACCTCAAGAAATTTGACGCTTTTCACGCACTCCGCACGTACTTTTTTCAAATTCCTGTCGTGAAAGAAGCGTCGCACGTGGACAAAGCGGTGGAGCTACAGGCGATCTTGGCCACTGAAGCCGTGACAAAGGAGGCCATGACGTCGAGTGGGGCTACCCATCGGAATTCGATGCCGCCGTCGGTGGAGCTCCAAGTGCCCGATCCTGGCGACCTCGACCACATGATCGACAACCTCCGCAATCGCATTGAGCTCCACCTCGTCGATCAAGACATTGCGAACGTGCGCTCCCTCTTCGCATCGTTGCTCAAGTCGTTGAGCGAGTCGCCGTCCCCGCGGCGGCAGGCCATCGTGGCCGGACAAGTAGGTTTACTTGTGCTGAAGTGCATGGGCCCACTCAATCGTGCATGGCGGTAGGCCAAGCTGGACACGGTCGGAATATTTGTGACCCGGGTGCAGGAAGCCGTGGAAGCAGCGGTTGCGTCCAACGAGTGCTTTGGCAGTGACGTTGCTACGCTCTGTCGTACTTTCGTTGAAGCGACCCAAGAAGGCGCCAACTTTCGCCAAGTGGCGACTACAGCGCTCAATGTGCAGTTGCGCCATCGCATTGCCACATTGGAGGACACGACGGCCAGGTTGGACACTCAGCGCCGGCGGCAGGAAGCACTTGCGGACCAAGTGTTGGCCACAAGTGTTGTGGACAAGGTGGCGCGACGTGGCGTTGTGGTAGCTCGTCATGGGGTGCATGTCGTAGGCGTACAAGATCATCTTTGAGCTGGAAGAAGCGCGGCATGCAATCGACATGGCGGGCGAAGAACTCGATGTCGAGAAAGCCAAGATAATCTCGCAGATCCGATCCGAGTACGACGGCAAGCTGCGCGACCTCAACTTGGAGTTGATTCAAAAGCACGGCCAGTTCGAAGAGTACCGGGCGGCAGTTCAAAACGTAATGCGTCCGCGGGCGTGGCGAGTCCTCATGGCGGGCGTAGGATCTGCGCGTGCAACTGCACGAAGTCCAAAAGTCGTCGGTCGGCAAGTTCATCGAGACAGGGATTCCCATGCAGATCAAGAGCCAGCTCGTTCGGTCCATGCGGACCAACCTGGAGATGGAGGTAGGCGCGGCGTCGATCCCGCTGTCTCCCTGCGTGGCATGGCTAGAAAATCATGGAGGAAAACACCGCGTTGAAGCAAACGCTGATGAAGCTCCGGACGATGTACGACCTCAAAGACTCGGCGACCCAAGCGGCGCACGACCAGGCCGAAGCGACGTTGTCGGCACAACTCGCCAAGGCCAGCTTGGTCTTCCAGCAGAAGAATCAAGTCGATGCCCAGCTCCACGCGACACAGACCCAGCTCATCGCGCTGCAAAAGGACCTCCTTCGCGCCCAGTCGGCGTCCACTTCGTCCACCTCGACCGCCACCAGTGCCATCCATAAAGAGTACCAAGAGGCAGCCGTCAAAAGAACCCTCCACGTGACCAAATTCGCAAGCCGGTTGATTGCACGGCAAAAGGCCAAGGCCATCGTGGCCAAGGCCGTGGGCGATCCCGTCGATGGAATTGACGATGATGATGGCAGTGGCGGCGACAACAGCGCCGAAGACGACAGCCATCCACAGCGCCGCCAGTCGACGTCACCCTGCCACACCGACAACAGCGCGGCGACTCGCGACCACTACATCCGATCCGCGCACCACTTGAACCGAGAGATTCGCCGGTTGCAGAAACAGCTTGCCAAGGAAGTCAAGGCCAAGACGGCGGCCCTCGAGCAGCTACACGCGGCCCGCGGCCACTCGCATGTCCTTCTCGAACACGAGAACGCAAAGCTGCACACGGAGCTCGCCGACACCCAGCGGCGGTATGTCGCGGCCGTCCAGGAGATCGGCGAACTCCAGCACTTGATCCATCCAGAGCCTTGCGGTCACATGAGTGCGAGAAACATGGCTGCCACGGCAGCGGCAACCACCTCCCTCCGGCCCCCACCCACCTCGCCCTTTCCCTCGCTGCCGGTACAACCCGATCGTGCGGCTGTCCTCCGACGGCCGCGAACTTCCCTGCCGTCCCGTCCCCACACGTCGTTCGTCCGCCCGATGACGTCGTCAGGAGCGAATCCGGCACGAAAACTCAAAGCAGTAGCGTCCGTGACTGCTTCAGACAGTGGAGGGGTTAACGCCACTAGCGCCCCCAACAACAACAACGAAGACGACAGATGCGCGACTACCAAGCGGCCCAAGTCAGCCGCCGCCGCGCCAAAGACGACTCCTCGAAAATACGACGTTGTCCTTCGGCAAGACGAGGACCTGCAGCAACAGCCGCATGTCGAAGGAACGACGCACCAGTTGGCGGCGCGCACTCGCCCGTTGTATCGATGACCCAACACGTCATGGAGGAGATTCTTGAGATTCATGCACACGAATACACCCCGACGGCACGCGTCGACACAGCTTCCTGGACGGACGGACATGCATCTATCCTACGCGCCGTCCTCCCAGTCGCCTTCCATAAGAACGTCGTCGTCTTCGTCGTCGTCTTCCGATCTGCACACCATATCGTCGTCATCATCTTCCTCGTCGTGGCCGTTCAGGTCGTGGACGGCACTCCTTGACATGCACGTGAAGTACAGGATCTTCTTGAGCTCCTTGTTGTAAAAGAAGTAGTTGAATGACCATAACGTGCCGTCGCTGAACGGATCCGAACACCCGTCCATGTCAGGGATGTAGCTGTAGACTTCGCAGTCGCCGGGCGCGATCGCGGCAACGATGGACTCCCACAGCTTCTCGAGGAACCCAATGTTGTCCATTTCGACGATTTCTGCCAGTTGTGTGTTGATCGCGTTCACTATCGTGCGCATGTCGACTTCCTTGTGGAACTGCTCTGGTTTCAAGTCGGAAAAGTCGTAGTCGGGGAAGGAAGCGTTCATGGTCGAGATCAAGTTGATCAGGAGTTTCCTTGTGTTCGAGTCCGCCAACGTCCCGATGGACACGTTGTTGTGTACGGTTGCGGGTGTTGCTTGTTGTTCAACAACGCTGGTGTTACCGTTGTTGTTGGATTGGTACAGAAGTTCGAGCGACTTGGCGAGCTTTTTGTCTTGCCCTGCTTTCTTGCACGAGAAGCACTCAAGCCTCCCATTGATGACCCGGTCGCCGACGCAGAACTCGCTCAGCGCGGCGTTCGCCCAGCTCAGCGTCTTCTCCTCGAGGTACTTCATCTTGTTTTGTCGTCCGCTGCTGAATGCCGATGAAACTGCAACAACTTTTACAATGATAGTGAATATACTAATGTTTGTATACAAGATAATAAAAATACGAGCCGAAGGTTTGCTGACTCTTTCGGTGCATAGAAATTTCAAGTGACAGCGAGCAGTATCTTGGTGCTACACTGTATCCGGACAAGTCGGATTCGTAACGGAATCTATGTGTCAATAAAAAACATTTGAAACGACCAATACTAGCACTTTAGCATAGAGAAGACATTTAAAATAGGTTGGCCAAGAAAACAGACGTTCGGCACCACGAGAGTTCCGTATAATTAACCGGATGCTGCCCTTCTATCCGGATGATTCAGTTGAATCTCGGATGTGCCGAGATGCACGTCGAGCATCGAACTCGCCGATGTGGATCACGCGCTCTCTGCCGCATCCCGTGTCAACGGCAACATGGACCTCATTCAATGACGAGAGCTTCTTGATTACCGGAGACCATCCATCGTGCTGGCGATGTCCTCCATGGGCAAGCTAGCCTTGTGGCGGCGCATGGTGTGAAGTAGCCGTTCGCGATCGCCTTTGTCGGAGCCTTTCGTGCGAGTCAACAGATCCATGCATGCAAATATCGCTTCACCAGACAACGCGACGTCGTTCGAAAAAGCCATCGTCAGTAACGCTTGACAGTCGTAGAAGAGGTCCGAACGCGCCGACAACACCAACGCCTGGGACAGCACTGTCGAGTCGAGTGGAAAGAGTCCCGGGAACTCGACCATCATGCCAAAGTACGACAAAGTCGTCGGGACGTTCTCTCGAATAGGTTTCGGCGCCGCCGCCCGACACTGCTCGACCGTGCGGAACACTGAAGAGACCGCGTTGTAGCTGAGGCTCATCGACTGCGTCCATTTCCGAAGAATGTTCTTGGTGGTTGGTAGGTCCGCTGCTTCTGTGGCATGTACCAACGCCTCTTCCAGCAGTTTTTGATGCTGCAGGTCGTTGCCTGCGCTGTACTGGGCCAACACTTCGTCTGCAAGATGCGACGTTGCCGTCTGTCGGAGTGCCGCATACAAGAGCGAGGCGAACACTGCCTCATCCAAGCGGAGTCCTTCAGTCCAGACACAACATCGCCAGACCTGCATCGCATCTTGCATGGTTTCCATTGACGTAGACTCGCGCAGGCGTGCCTGGATCGCTGCAGCCCACGCGAGGGGGGCGTTGTTGATAACGCGAGGAAATTTCTCGTAGAGCTCGTACAGGGTCACGCCCGTCAAGGTTGACATGACTGCCGTCATATCACGCTCGGTCGCCACGACCCCATAGTACTGCATCTCTTGAAGCAGCATCAACACAACGTCGGGCACAGGTTGCTGGCGCTGCTTTGAAATATGCTGGAGCAACGTGCCGCTCCATTTGAACCCGACGTTCGTCGCGTCGCCTTGGCGAGCCATGACCACCTCTTGAGCTGGCACAAAACCTTGAATCGACAGCACGTGTGACAAGATAAAGTTACCTTGGTTGGCCGCTTTGTACTTTTGTACAAACGCGGCTCGTAGCCGTGGGTCGGCTGCTGTAGCGACGACATGGCCGTAGGTAACGTCCAGCAGCGGCAAGTGCCGCGATTGGACCGTTTCCAGGAGACGCATGGCGGCGACAGAATCGCCATGGATGGCCGCCGCGCTCAAGGCTGCTGACACGTGCTGCGTGGACCGCGGAAACACCGCAGCATTTTCTTCATCGAACACCAATTCCCACAAGTCCGTGGTCTCCTCTACACAGGTACATGGGACTCAATCAGCAAGGTTACTCATGGGGGACGGCATTCGGACCATTGTCCCGCTCGGACGCCAGGAGGGCAGCAACCAGGTCCATCGTCGTTTCAACAGTTGCAACGACTCGGTGCTGCCGCATGAATGACAGCTCCGTGGCCACTTGCAGTGCCGTATCCGACGACTTCTCGCCACTGCAACTGTCCATGAGCAAGTAGTTGGCCACGTCAGGGGCTTCAAGCGCGTACGCGGCCTGCATGCGGCAGTACAGCTCGGTCAGCTGATGGTGCACACTTCTGTCACTTGACGATGCCAGGATGTAGAGCAGGGACCTCATGACGACGGTGGATGCTTTGAGGGATGGAGCCCACACGCCTGAGTTGTACAAGTCAACAACGAGCTTGTGGTAACTTGTGGTGTCGGTTCCGTTGTGGCGCAGGGCTCGAAGGACTTGCTCAGACAAATTGTCGTCAAGGGTTACACTTGTGCGCTTGATCGAGTTGAGGAGGTTGGTCAGTTCGTCCAGGTTGCATTGTTGGAGGCAAAGTTGAGCCGCGGAATGGCATGAATCGACGAGAACAATACGCGAAACCGCATGAGACGGAAGTGCTGCCAACATCTCGACCGCCTCGACGGCAGTCTTGACATTGCTCGTGCTGATTGCGGCGAGTAGAAGCTGTTGTGCAAACAGACTCGTTGTTCTGTGAAGCCAAGGTGCATCGTGCTTGCCCATGTACAGCACGCGATAGAGCACATGAATGACAGCATCATAATTTTGGGCAGCATTGAGGTCGCGGGCTTCCTGCCACAACAGATCTATCAGACCCTCAGTGAGGATGCGAAATCGCGAAGCACGGGTCCACCAACCTTCGTTCGCGTACTTTCGAAGGAGTGTCATTGCATGTGCCTCGCGCATGTTGTGCAGCGCAACTTGCTGCTTCTTCCACGTGGGAAACTTCCGCTCATACTGGAGTTGCGCCATACGGGGGACCTCGGGAAAGGCAATTGCAGTATGGTCGCCGACAGAGCGTTGGAGGCGTGCGTTGTATCCAATGCTAGCAGCACTGGACACATGACGGACTAGATGAAGCCTTGTAGCCAAGCAAGGTTGCGTCCATGTCGAGGCGGTTGCATGGAGAAGGGCAGTGGGTCGCAAGCACGGCTTCATGGCGCGCGTTTCCCACCCTCAAGCACGTCACAGCCAGGTTTCAAGGACAAATTTGATTTGCTAAAAATCAACCAATGAACGAATTTGACGTGCTTTGATTGGCTATTGATTAAAATTGCTGGTGGTTTTTTGTCAACCTGCTCAGGTGGCGTGCGTTGCTGGAACCATGGTAACTCACGCAGGTAAGGAGCCCTTGTCCCCACCCTCCATGTGGTATAGCACGCATTTTGCGTCGAGGTCTATGATCTTCGCGAAGGAAGTCTTTGGATGGACATGAGGGTGGCTGTCCGGTCGGTCGTCGATTGAACGCCATCTAGAACGACAGTCACAAAGCGGAATATTTGGGTCTGTTTCGTGGAAAAGTAAAGATGGGGTACATCGTGTTTTATTGTACCATGACACACATTCCATTACAATTTTCAAGATGTACTGAGCCACGTGGATTTAAAATTTCGCCGGGGGTTGGCCCATTTTCCTTGATCACATTAACGCGACAGATTCAACAGGATGCGGACGGCTGCGTCTTGCCGCCGCCTCTGGACGCTGCCGATCGTGTACCTCATGATGTACGTTCTTGAAAGAGTCTCTGGGCGTAGCGACACGAATGAGGACGACGTCAGCAGTACAGAGATTCACCTTACGACGCCACGTGGCCGAGAAAGGGCAGTGCTCCTCGTCGGCCAAATGAGCGGCCAGTTGATTGCATTTGACGCGTGGACAGGGGAGATCATCAACTCCATTAACTCGGGTGGTGCGCTGGTATCGAATTGCCGCACTGACATCATGCAGGATCTCCATTCTGATGGCAGTTTGTCGGCCTTGCTGCAGCCGTCGGCGCGGCAAAAGAACAACGTGGCAACATCCATCTCTTTGCAGACGCCAGAGAAAGCTTTCGACCAACACAATTTTGCCCCTACGATGGATGGTCGTCTGTACCACTTGAGCGAACACGACGGAGAATGGAAGGAAGTTTTCCTGTCCACATCGCGCCTCCTCCAGTCCAAGAAACCTCTACGTGCCAAGGACAACCCAGAGCTGTCAAACGTGGTGTTTGTGGCCGAGAAACAACAGCGACTGTTCACGTTTGACGCAGACACTGGACAAATGTACCCTTTCTTTTCTGCCGATGCCACTGCCGCCGCGACTGCATTCTCCAACACTGTTTCGACAGAGCAACCGTCGACCGTGTTGATGGGCCGTGTGGACGTGACGACAAAAATGGTCAACCTCCACGATGTCCTGGATTTCAAATGCGTCACTGTGTCCGAGTATTTTGTTCAGTTCGCTGCGACCGCCCAATGTGACGTGGAGAAGACGCCAGAGTCTACCGGCACTCCTTGGATTGAGATGGAAATGTCTGCTGAGTCGAACGTGGTGTCGTTGGCAGGTTACGACCCAGACTCTCGCCGCATCTTGTGGAAGTGGAATTCGCATGTCGATCTCACCATGGTGTATGGTGTGCTGCCAAAGCAAGGCATCAAATTCTTTCAATGGGACGTCGCATTGCCCGTCGGCGTCGACGATGCCGAGTCGGCAACGCAGTCTCTCGACCGCGATGACGATGACGTTGTCGATTCAAGCTGCCCCACACCGCCACCCTTGGCTCCATCCAAGTCGTCATCGGTCCAAGCCACCGCCTCATCAGCCGTCGCCACCATCCACCGCTCGCCTCGGCCCAACTTGCTGTATCGACACATTGACGGCCAACCGTATCTGCTTCCATCCCCAAAGGACTTGTCGCCCGCAGACAGCACGTTCCTCGACAACGGAACAACCAAGAACAACGCCATGAGCGGCCATTCCATCGTCGTCAAGCGCCATCAACAGCAACGACCCTGGAATTTCAAAACCGTCGAAATTGATGGCGAAAAAGGCGTGGTGCTTACATCCAAACATGTCGTGAGCATCGTATTGGCCGTCGCCGTCGTGGTCATGGTCGTGGCATATGTCTTCTACCGCAAAGGACTGATTGCCAAACCCGATTCGCCGTCTCCGCAGGACAGAGACGTCCCACCGCTTGTTTCAACTCCATCCCCGTCGCCACCGTCAACCCCCGTCATGTCCCCTCGAGCCGAGCCAGAAGCGAGCCCAGGCAACGCCTCAAGTCCGCGGAGCCCCAAGAGTCCATTGCTTCGAAACAAAACTGGTCTCGAACATCTCATGCGCATGGTGACACCTGCGAAAATGCATCGTTCCCTGTCGTTTGGTGGATTTTCCCATGCACCTCCACCCCATCGCCCCAATGTCCATAATCACAATGGAGGGTCGACGCATTCTCCGACTGAATGGCTCATGTCGCCCAAGCCACCCGTTCGTCTCTCGGACATCAGTGCCGGTGACATCTCGGGAGATTCGGCCCAGAGTGGTCTCGATGGATTCCAACTTCCAAGTCCCGTTCCCACGAACGCACCAACGGCCCCGACTACCTCGTTGTCGTCGCTTCCGACCACGACGACGGAAGAGTTCAGCAAGATTTTGCCGTACATTTGCCGAGGACGGTTTGCCAATGAGTTTGAGGAGCTCTCAACGTTGGGAAAAGGCGGGTTCGGCCAAGTCATGCTGGCAGAGAATCGCTTGGATGGACGCAAGTACGCGGTCAAACGGGTTGGCTTGAGTCTTCGCAATCAAACCAAGACAACGTTGGAAAAGGTAGCGTTGCGAGATTCTTTTGGTGCAGTCGACGTATCTCATGCTCACACTAGTTCCTGCGAGAAGTCAAAATCCTGGCGCGGCTCGACCATACGTACATTGTGCGGTACTATCAGGTCCTGTCCCTTCCCCCCGTCTTTTATAATTGTGTGGCTGAGAGCGATTTATTGTACAGGCGTGGCTCGAAGAGCTTGGAGAAGATGAAGTCGTGCCAGCCATGAGCGACGCGGGTGGATCGTATGTGACCACCGCCAACTACACGCGCCGTGACGGAGCAGGGACTTCGTCGGAGTACTCTGCACGCAACATGTTGCAGCGCCACTCGTTCGACGAAAAGAAATTTGCCAACGATGATGAGGACATGAGCACGGACTCGCTGTATGCCCCACGTCGGTTCAGTGGTCAACGCGATAATGACGGCGATGACGAAGACAGTGGTGGGTTTGTGTGGGATCGCGAAGGTGGAGACAATGCATCGATGGAGCAGTGGTCGGAGCAAGATCTGTACAAAGACGACAGCACAGTGAGCGTTCGACGAAGCGCTACGCGAAACACAACCATGCAACGCTACAGTCGTCGTCCGCGGGGAGAAAAAGCGACTACAGCAACGTCGGTGGTCCCATTGATCGACCACTGGCTGTACATTCAAATGCAGTACTGCTCGGAACAATGCCTTGCTGACGTTCTCCTCGCCCCCGGTCGCCGCAACTACAGTCACATGCTGGAAATGTTTTTTCAAATCGCGAGTGCCTTGGAACACGTGCACTCCCTTGGGTTGATCCACCGGGATTTGAAACCCCAAAACATCTTTGTGATGGACAGCGACACGATCAAGCTCGGCGACTTTGGGCTATCTCGGTACGCGGGCGGCGGCAACTCGTCGTCCGACGGAATGGACCCGCCGACGGTGCCTCTGGCCAAGCAGGACTCATCGACGTGGAGCATGGACGACGAAAAGACCGTGGGCGTTGGGACCTACTTGTATGCGAGCCCCGAACAAATCTCGGGCGAGACGTACAACGCCAAAGCCGACATGTATTCGCTCGGGATGATTTTGTTTGAAATGATGCATGAACCATTTGGTACGACCATGGAACGTGTCGTCACCCTGCGCAACCTCCGCGAAGGCAACCTTCCACCGTGCTGGCTGCAAGACCATCCCCCCGTGGTCTCGATGGTGACGTCGCTCGTGACGACGTGCCCATCAGACCGACCTTCGGCATTCGACGTGGTCACGTGGTGCCAGACTCAACTGCACTTGAAGAGTTCGGCCAAGAATGGATCAACCAGCAACAACAATCACCACAAAACCCACGACGACAACGTCCACGTGTTGCAAGTGGAGGCAGTCGAGTGGGACAACAGCACAGTCTGTCACAACTTGCTCCTGGCGCTGTGCGATGTCATCCGAGCCATGCCATCCGTCGTGATCGTTGCTTGTGGCCTCAAGCAGCACATGAGCTACGGCCAAGTCCTCGAGTTTACGTTGCATGTCGATACGAACCAAGTGCTGGCTCAAGTCCAAGACGCCATCGCCGCCGCAGAAGGCGTCAAGCACGTTGAGTTGTTGAGTTAGGACGTCCCGAGATTATCCAAGTAATATTTTAATTTAGAACTGACCTTTGCAATAGATATATGGATGAGGAGTGGTTGGACACAACAGACTACGACAAGCATGATACATGCGCAAACGAGGACGATGAGGAACCGTACGAGGACCCGAGGGCAGGTCGTCTCGGTGGAAGACCGTAGTTGCCGTACTTGTCGTCACTGCGAGGGTGGTGGTAGCGCGGCACGTCGTCAAACGATGGCTTGAAGTGATGATGGCGATCAGGTACTGATGATTGCCCTGAGGACCGTTGACGAGCACGATGTAGTGCGCTCAGCAAATGAGACCGTTCTTTTGCCAAGTACGCGATCACATCACCTTTGTTGGATGCGCGAGCACGGATGTCAGCATGCACCCGGTGGACGAACGAGTAGTACGTTGCCCGATCGCCCGAATGGTCCTGCTTGAGGAAGTACGCATACCTCGACACAGCCTGGTTTAGATAACTCATGTGGTTTGGATCTCGCGCCGCAGACTCTTGCATTCGACCGGAGAGGACGTCGAGGGCGTCCAGTTGGTCCAAGAGTTGAGCAATCGCTTCGATCCCCATGCCAGCCAGAGCAAATTCCCAAGTGCGTTTCTTGTGAGCCTGGAATGACCTACACTCTGTTTCGTAAGTGTAGGTCACGTGTGTATCTGCAGTTCCTCGCAGCATCGGTTGCGGCATCAGGCATTTCATGCCCAGGCAAGACGTTGCGTGAGCGATGCTGATCGCGTATCGACCAGCGACTTGGCATCGAGCGATGCACGCAGTCAAGTTCAGGTACAGTCGTAGCAACACTATCGGGCTTGGAGTCATGAACATTTCGGATGGACAATTCCAATAGCCAATCAAATCCCGTTAAAATCCAGAGCGGCCAATCAGATGCACCGAAGCAAATGCCATTGACAGAAAGGTCGCCTGCACTTCATGATAAAGCAAGGCATCGTCATGTCAAGAGTGCGTTCCATAACGATCATCATGTATCTTCCTCATGGATTCTCGGCCTCGAACATGTAGTCCTCGGGAGTCGCACGGCTTCGTTGGATTTCCAGTCGAAATTCATATTCATCCGCGTTTCTTATTCAGCACTGGTTTCGACAGTAAAAAATACGGTTAGAATTTGAGTTATCCGGATGGCCCCATTTTCCCACCTAAAGCGTTCCTGGTCAGAATGAAGCGATCGAGGGTAGATGGTGGCAGCAACAACGAGCACGATGCGGATGTCAAGACCAAGGATGTCGAGACAGATGGGATCGGAAGCTTTGCCAAGGCATCGGACGACGTCATGCGTGATCGACGGGTTGCAAAAGCTGTCGCTTCATCCACACGCTTGTCAGAATTGAAGCGCCACTCATACGCTTTGAATCAGAGCTTTTATCAAGGCATCAAGCTGCAGTCTTCGCAGAATGGCAAAGGATCGTGGCTCGAAAACATGAAGGAGTACCTGTCATACGCCCAGGAGATCGACGGTCGATACGGCGATCACCGCGGTGTTCTATTGACGTTCGGAAGCGGAGATTGTGGCCAGCTCGGCCATGGCGTCGAGGAAGAAGTCGACATGTGCGTAAAATTTCCTCGTCCGATACAAGCCCTTTCCATGCACCGCATCGTTCGAGTGGCTTGTGGGGGTTTGCATACGATGGCGCTGACGCACGAAGGTTCCGTGTTCACGTGGGGCTGCAATGACGACGGTGCTCTCGGTCGCGTCGGCGACGAAAATCTGCCCGGTCCAGTCACGGGGTTCCCCGACAACACGACTATCGTGAATGTGCGTTGCTCTAATGCGTGTACATAGTGTTCGATTCTCACGGCCATCGCGGATTAGATTGTCGGTGGCGATTGCCATACAGCAGCCGTGACTGCAGACGGGTCGGTATTCACGTGGGGCTCGTACAAGGACAAAGAAGGCAAACTGTGGTGTGACGGCCCGACTCCCAAGGACACGTTCAAGAAGAAGCAGGTTGGACTTTCAAGTCTCCTCCTTCCAGTCTTATCCACTGGCTAGATGACGCCGTATTTGTTGCCTACACTGGCCAACGTCGTCGACATCAAGTGCGGCAGCAGCCACAACCTCGCACGGTGCGCCGACGGGCACGTGTACTCGTGGGGCCTCGGCGAGATGGGGAATTTGGGTCGGCCCGTGGCTATGGAGATTCGCGATGCCGACGGCGAGTACAACGTGTCGCTGGTGTTTAACGACCATTTGACCCCCCAGTTGGTCAAGTTCAACGGGAAATCATTTGGGTGCAGAGCGCTCGGCGCTGGGTCGTATCACTCGCTGTTTGTCGCGAACGAGTCGGGCGGTATCTATACGTGTGGGCTGAACAACTACGGCCAACTGGGTCTGGGCCACGATGTGAACCAGACGGAACTGCAGCTCGTGGAGGCCCTGAGCTCCAAGAATGGCCTGCTCGTCGAGGGAGGCACCCATCACTCGGTTGTATTGGTCAGTGACGGCACTATTTACACCTTTGGCCGAGGAGACAGCGGCCAGCTGGGAACGCTGGACGACCCGTGTACTGGGGTTTTCAAAGACAGGTGCGTTTGTCCGAGAGATTGGTTGTCTTACTGAAGTGTGTCGTGCTTAGCCCACAAGAGATTCAAGTACCTGGGGTCAAGGGGTTTCGATCGATTGCGTGCGGATCGAACCACGCACTGGCTGTGTCGGATCAAGACACGATTTACTCGTGGGGATACGGCGACATGCTAGCGCTGGGTAACGGCGTCGAGAAGGACGAGCTCAAACCACGCCGCCTCGACTGGGCCAAAACTAAGTTTGGCGACGCGCGGATCTTGCAAGTGTCTGCTGGCGGACAACACAGTGCTGTCGTGGCGGAAAAGGGCACCGCCAAATAGATCGAGTCGGGCATGGAATCGTTTGAAAAATGGCCTTACTACGTTCGCTGGTCGACTTTGACTCCTTGTTCGCATTGCTCCAGATCGCATCGAAGAGACGACTTGCACGTCATGCAGCCAAGCCTTACGTCTTGCTCTGCACTCTCTCCACCCTGTCCGATGCGATCTCTCTGCCGGCGAAAGCAACTTTGGGGGCCCAGGTTTCTGCCGCCGTTTCCGCTTAAATTGTGATTTATCCGGATAAAATCATCCAAACTGACAAAGAAGGGGGTATCAAGCCAAAGGAGGGTGCACCACGTGCTTCCACGACACAAAAAGGGTGGAAAATTTGAAGATGGTCGCGCTCAATGGCGCGCAATTTGCTACGCTCCCAGCGGCGATCAAGGCCGTTAAGGTGGATGCTGCCTTGACGAAGCATGACGCTCAAATTGATCGATCCTACAAGCGCGATGAAGCGAAGCGATTGATCTGTCGCAATCGCACTCATCACGGTTGCACGTGGAACGTCGAGGTCATCAAAGATACGACTCTGGGTACATGGACGATTGTGTGTGTGGACTCGACGCATTCCGAAAGCTGCGAGAGTATTCGGAAATCCGATGAAACGAAGCAAGACGATGCTAGCGCGATTGGTGCTGGAGGGACCCGATATGCGGCGAATCCATCGGAGGCATTATTGAGGCTCGATGCACCCTCTCGACCACTATTCCAATCAACTTTTGGGAGGCGTAACTTCACATTGACTCAAGACATGCGATGGGGAAGTGCGAAGGAAGCTTCAAGGGCAGTGAATGATTTCGCCTTATTTGCGCAAAAGAAGCGCGCCCGTATGGACAAGAAGACGAGCGGCGGTCGCAACAAGAAGTATGTGTGTTCCTGTGAAAGCTGTGGGTGGTACGTTCGATTACTTCGCGCTCCAAAGGCTGAGAGCTGGAAGATTTCGTCGATGAACTTACAGCATTCGGACTGTTGCGCGGGGAATGCACAGCCTACAGCGCGCCAACTAGCGGACATGGCGTCGTTTCGGCAAGCTGTCGTCACCCACAGCAAGGCAAATGGGAAACTCCTCACGGAAGAATTTTTGTCATCCACAGAAGAAGGCATCAAGATTCCGTTGCGATTGGCATATCGTGCCAAGAAGCTCATCGCTGTACACTCGCAGGACGACCTAGTCGAGAGCTACAAGTTCATCCCATCCCTGTTGTCGTCATTTGTTGCGAAGAACTCGCCATCGATTGCTGATTACACCTCAGACGAAGTTGGGCATTTCATCCGCACGTTTATCATGCCCAATGTCAGCCATCAAGCACTGCCCGCCCTGCAAAAGATCCTCGGCATTGAAGTCATTCCTTGCACCGGGCCAGATTACAAGGGATACGTGGTCATGTTACTTGGTCGTGATGGCAATTTTCAGCCGCAGATCATTGCGCTTGGCTTGGTGCCGGAACCATCAACAGAGCACATCCATTGGTTCATGACGCGTGTCCAACGGGGCGTTGCCGTTGACGGGTACCCCATAGTGTGCACTGTGTTGTACCCTGGCGTCGTCGAAGGTGTTCGGCGGGCTAATCCCGAGGCAGTGATTCGATTTTGCATCAAGAGTTTGATCGATATGTTGAATCAAGACAAGTCGATGACCAAGTTGGGTTCAGCGGAGATGCTTGTGTGGGAGCTCCATTTTCAGGAAACGGAAGTGGGCTTTGTCGAGACTATGCATCAACTGGAACAAGTGAACGAGTCGGCCGCTAACTACCTCCGCAAACTCGATCCATCGTGCTGGACGTCGTACAAGTACCAACCCTCAACACAATATTTCAAGTGGTCAACGACGACGTACACAGCAGGTATCTTTGCGCTGCTGACTATTAACTCTACTCATGGCGTTGCGAAGGAATGCATGGATCGACTCCGGACGGATGCGATGATGCGCCGTTCGATATACTCTACAACTACTTGACCCGAATGATGGATATGACGTTTCTCAAGAGCCAACTGGCGGGTAAATTGGTAGCCGCGTCAACCGTCCTTACTCCAGGGGCCCAGGAGGTGTACACTGATGAAGTGAACGAATCCTTGCAGTATACCACGCGCCCCAGCGATGAGTTGGTCGCGTACGTTTGGAAATCTGGGACCCGACCGAAGGCCAACTTCCGCGTGCACTTGGGCGAAGGGACTTGCACTTGTTCGAGCATGTATCAACTGGGAATTCCCTGTCGCCATTTCATTGCTGCGGCAAGGTATTTTGGTCAAGATCAGGTATGGACGTCACTCGGACTTGCGTCTTGGGATTGAATTTCGTTGCGCTTTAGCTGATTTTGGATCATGTTGGTGCGATATACAAGACAGATACGTACTTTGGTGCGTTTCACAAAGCGCGGATTGAAATGCCGCTGGAAAGTGACCTAAGCAAGGACCAAACGCTCCTGCCGGCCATTGTCGAAGGGAAAGCGGCTCAGTCGTTAAAACCAAAGAAGACGAGAGCTGCGCCAGTCGATGTGAATCCACGCAAGGAAAAAACAGCCAAGACGTTGGTCGTGCCATCATCCTTACCTGTTTCCACCGATTCCACGACCGAAATGGACATGACCATGATCACAGCCATGAGTTTGAGCATGGGAATTCCGGGGCTGACCCCGCAAATTCTTCAACAATACCCAATACCCCCTCATGCATATCTGCAGCAAATGCAGATGCAAATGCAAGAGCAACAACCGTCGCAGTCAAACCCACCATCGTCTGCGTCGGGATCTGGGTTTTCCATGGTTTAAGTAATGCATTACGACGTATGGCTGAATTCAACAACACTTGGCGCGGCTATGATTTGTTGGCTTTCTTCTTCTGGGCGTGGACGGCTGTGAGAACTTTACGCTTGAGCGCTACACGATGCACGTGCACAGATGCCTTGTTGGCTTTCGGCTTGGTGGAAGGAGCGTGCAATTTTTTCTTCGCCGCGACAGAAATGCCGTAGTTCTTATCCAGCACAAGCTGTAAATCCTTTGCTTCAACCAGCGTTGCACGACGGTGCTTTGCCAGTCGACCGCTTGCCGCCGCAACGTCATGGACGAAATCAGTCGCCATGTCCATGAGCAGTTCGTCAACCCCGGGCTGCAGAACAAACTTTGGATCGACCTCTGCCAGAATCTTCTGCAGGTAGTCGTTCTGGTTCACGTTGCCGCCCATGTAGTTTCCCAGCGCATTTTGAGTCCCTCGCCGAGCCATCCCCTTTCCTTGATCGGGCGTTTTCGTGCGGAAAACCTCCACTACGTTATACGTTATCAAGAGACTATAAAATATCAAAAGTCATTTGGTGGCTTGCATATAACTTGTTTTCTGAATGTTTTCTGAATGTCTTGACAAAAATATACGTAAATTGTACAGTAATTCACCCGTAAATAACAACCCACTGGTCATAAAATTATCAGAGGTTTATGACTGTGGTCATGACCAAAAAGTTTGATATCCTGGAAAACAATGGAATGTGAGAGGTTTTCGCTTTGATATTCACAGTAGTCGACGGCACCGAGGTGACCAGTGATTAGGTTTATCGTAAATATTGCACATGAGAGTAAGTGATTCGAAACCAAATGAATGATAGAATATAAATGGAGGTTTGCATTTGTAAAGGTAAAATGACTCACACTCTGAGCTTCGTGCGGTACGTGCAGTGCGAGCTTCGTCCGAGAAGGAAGGCAATAGACAGATTTCGAAACTCACTCCGTACATTTCCCGTCCCGTAAAATTTTACGGGACGGGAAGTACACGGATTT